TCTTTGACCTTCTCTCTGCTTGATTGCTTCTCTTTGATGAAGGTAGTGTACCCCCCCCAAAAAAGGGCCCAACACCGACAACATACACGACAACCCGCAAACTCCATCAGAAACCCACCCTCGCAACTGACAAGCCCCCGTCCCATAACCTCCAAACAACCCACTTCAACGGAGCTCGGGTGGGTTCCAGAGTTGTCTTCCCAAGCTTATTACTTACCGCCAACCGGCCAGCGATCTCCATCTTGCAGACCGATTCCTCGAGATGCTATCGACTCACCGCAACTGAGAATAAGACACTGAACCCATGATCATTCGAGTCGTCGTCCGCGACAGTCTACGATGGATCCATCATACACCCCATGTATCGTCGTCCGCTTTCCCCCTCACCCCCATGCCGAACCCGAAGCTACTGAAACGAGTGCCCACTCGTTGCCTTCCCCGGACTGCCGATAGGGTCAACCGGTGGCCGGTATCCAAAAGAGAGCATGGGTGACGGGGGGAACAACACCCGTAGCCTTCCGGAATTGCAGTCCAAAATCCACAATACGATCCTCGACTAGCCCAGAAGCCCATGGCAAGAAGGTGACTCCATCGGTCTCCAACTTACTGTCTAGACCAACCAGGCTCTCCCTCGGTCATGATACCTGTACAAGGGTAGAGAAACCACGGTGGAAGGGCGGCATTTCAGACCTAGCAACCCATCGCAAAGAAAGGAGGTCCCTGGGGGGAGTGACAAACTTGCAGCAAGTCCATACTTTGCGGTAAGGTTCCCTGCCGAGCATCAAATGTCGACGAAACTCCCGCCCACAACCACCGCACTCTAACCCGGCCGTTCGTCCCTTTCTCTATAGGGCCAAGGAGTGACAACTTCGATGATGCGCATCAAACCACGGCGCCCGCCTCGACAAGTCATTCGAACGGCAAAGTCGAAACCTTGGCCTCGGCAACCGCGCTGGCGACCTTGCCATCAAGAAAGCTTGCCAGCTTGTCGGAGGACTCTGGGAGCCGTGAAACTTTGATTTCCAAACCCCATGCCATGTCCTTGCTCCGTTTCCATTTTCGTTTGTCCCCTCTCAATCCCCAATACAGGTACCGTGCATAGTACTCACCACCCCCCTGAGAGGTCCACCATCGATAACACGACTTCGACTCATGGCATTCGAAGTCTCCTTGGCCCTCGTGGTCCCTTGAATGGCGGTCGTGATACCCCCTTACCTACACACACGTTCGGGGAACCAAGATAGGGTTCGAAAACCCCAATCGCGATCCCCTCCTTCCCACATCGCACACACACACCAACATTTTGCCGCCATCATGCTCTTTGGGAGTTGCTTCATGCCCGTACCCACTTTCTTTTGTCGGGGGCCCAAGCCCAAGCTATTCTAATGCCCCCCGGTCAATCATCCCCATGTCCATAGCCCATGTCCGTAGCCCATTTCACCCATGTCGCCCATATCCGGGTTTCCGCCGGCCGCTGGGAGACACGACCACGGGATGGGCCCACTGGGAGCAAGCAAGCAAGCAGCGAAGCAGCAAAGCATAGGCAGTCGGCGACAGCAGATCAAGCGACATCGCATTGCTTCAGTGGAGAGCTCTGGGAGTGTGCGCCGCTGCCAATGCCGTTGATGCACGCGTGGAAACACTGGACGGACGGACGGAGACGGACGGGCTCTTCCAACGTACATAGTGCCTACCTCTTGCGCCGCGGAATGCGACAGGTGTCGTCATCAATCGCAAACTCCAGTCTCTCCCAGCAACGAGCGGCGACGGGGCCGGGGGCCTGGGAATGTCCCCCTTGTCAAAACAACAAGGGCAAAGGAGACCTTTTCATCACCGCACGGCGCACCGAACAACACTTCTCTCAAATTTTTAACGTTGCAAAATTCCCATCAAAAAGGAGGACAGAGTCAAATCTCTCCTTCCCGAGCCTTGGGCAACACGGACGTTGGAGACGAGGATTGGCAAAAAAATCTCTGCCATTGGCGAGATTGGAAATTCCTTTTCACCCTTGGAAATGAACCGAGACGTCAAACCCCCTTTCTTTGGGGAATGGAAGCAATAGAATAAGAAAAGAACGAAATGTCCACCACCATGGCCACCAGTGCCGACGCCCATCAAACGGACTGCAACTGCAAGAAGGTAACAGGGGGGGAGGGGGGTGCGCGCGCGCGCGCGCGTGTAAGTGAACCGGCCATCCGGACCACTGCAATCTCGTCTTCAAGGAAACAAAAGTCATTCTGACAGATGCTGCTCAGCTCAGCAACCGTGTTCTCTGTTCCTGCCTTTCTTCATGTGTCTCACTCGCCTCTTTTTCTTCTATAGAAGGTATCATATCCCACGGGCCGATCGAGACTCCAAATGTCTAAGACAACCGCAGTGTGAGGAAGGACTCGGTCGTCATGGCCCATTATTGGCCGCCCCCCCTGACATGCGTCAAAAACCAAGGAATTAAACAAGAGCAAAACGAGAGAGACAGACCAGACTCCAAATGCCACTGCACTGTCGAGGTTCGCTAGGGACTCACTTGCACCACGCTTGCAAAAAAGTCGCGACGTGTCCTTCCCTCCCCCTCGCAAAAAGACGTACGTCAAGATACACACGGCATATCAAGCGCGCTGCGTTGCGACGCGCTCCTCTAACACGGCTGCCATGCCCATGACACCTAGCCCTTGCCTTGTCCCATCCAGCATCCAGCATCCAGCTCAGCTGAGATCCTGTGCCAGGCTTCTCGGCCAAGGCCACAGCCACCAACAGTCCAAGCACGCACTCACTCAAACCGAAAGACTGCCTGCCACATACGCACGCCCCGGGGGAGGCGTGGCCCTAACAGTCAGCTGCTCCTCGGTCTGGGACTCGACTTCTACCCCCATCGCCTTATTAAGTTTGCGCCGTTGACAGGTACGTAGCCCGCCCGGGTACCTCGCGGTACCCAGACCTCCCTCTCCCGCCGCAGCTCTCCCGCCAGAACGAAACCCACCCGCGATATCTCGCCCTACCCTCTCACCCTCCCCACAGCAGATACACAAAAAACCGGACACCCAAGACGTGCAATATTCACAGTGTAACTCGAAATGCCACAGATGCAGATGTTCCGTCTTGCGCGGGATGGTTGTGTCTATCGAGAACCTCGACAAAAAGGCGCGCGTGCGCGCGCGGGGGAGAAGAGAGGAGTGGTGAGAGAGATAAGCCACGCCGGTGTCGCCCATGTTACGGATACTGGCGTCGATAAAGGTGATAAGCGTCCACGAACAAAGCCTACCTACTCTCCCCGGCTGAGGCGCACACCTCTTGGGGCTCGCCCTCGTCCAATGTGTCCTTGTTGCCCCGGATTCCGTAGGCCATTGATGCGTGAGACCTGCCGCGCTTTCGCTTCCCACTTTCAGAGTTCGCCTGCGCTGGTCGCCATGGCCGGCCCAGCTGACGACCTTCTTCAGCAATCGCCGCCCCCATCGGTCGAATCCGTCCATTTTGCTCCCGCCTCAGTTGAGCGAATCCTCCTCATCGTATCTCATCGGATCCGATTTCCCACCCCTCTCTTTCACCACCACTCCTGGCCAACCACCTCCTCCACATTCCACCCCTTCTCGTTGCTCTTTCTTCCTCTTCCCATCGTGCTGAGGTGATATGCTGATATGCCATGCATCCCGCATCGGGATACGATGCGGGTTCTGTTCTGTTCGGTACCTCGGGCCCATTTCAAGGTACCTCGCGCTGCCGATCGCGAACTGTCGTCGTATCGTAAGCCAGGATGGAGCGAGGAGGCCGTGGGGTTTCAACGAGAGCCCGTATTTCTCCGTCCATGCCTCCTCCTCTCGCCCTCGAGGCGCCTCTCGCTGCAGCACGCACGCCTTGGGCCCTGGAATTACAGATTCGTCTCGGTACAGGCAGAGAGTCAGTCAGGCTCTCCCCCAGAATTCGCGCAAACCCTCCATGTCGCACGCCGACGAGCGCAACCATCACGTTGCGCCCTGCGTCTCTTCTGATTGGTCCCACCTTGTCCTTCGACCGTCCAAGTATCACGCCCCCCCAGATGGACCCCCCTCCTCTCCTCTGAGGCGCGCCAGAGCTACAGGGCAGACCAACCTTCGTTCCTGGAGGCCATGCGTCGCGACGAGGAGGAAGGAAGAATCGAAGAATAATGCCCGTTTCCCGGCGTGTACCTACCGGTACCTACGTCTCGTCCTTGTGGGCTCGTTGTTTCCGTTAATCCCCTCGGCTGCAGCCCACGACGAGGCAGTCTTGTCGTCCTCGTCGTCGAATCAGGCTCGCCCATTGTGAGCCGTGTTCATTGCCCATCCACTTACGAAACCCCACGTTGTGCCATGCTGCATCGTTGAGGCTTCGGGCTCTAAGCTGCGCTTCAACGACGCCCCTCTCCCGATGCTGCCCTCTCTCGTGCCCGTCTGCCTCTCCCTCTCCCCCTCGGGAGTCTGTGGGTATTCGTCCGCCGCCGCGACCATCCTCCCCTCGCGACTCTCGGCCTGTGATCCCTGGGGCGTCCTCCGCCTTTGGGCCGATTCCTGCCCGGGCTGCCCCCCTCATCGCGGCGGCACCACTGCAACCCGCTGCAGTAGCCGCTCACCCCGCTTCTCGTCCAAGATATCGCGGCGGGGTTCATCACACCCCCCCCTCCCCCATCACTGCGCCTTTCCGACCTCCTCCGTTCGCCTACGTAGTCCCGACCAGCCGGTCGTCCAAGACCGGCGTCATGCTGAGTGCCCAAAGCCGCCTTGGTTTCGAAACGTAAGAATATGTCGCGCAGCCTGAGAGCGAGCCATGATGTAGTCAACGGCGCCGGTCGTCGGAATAATGGGGCGCTTCCAATGCGCCAGTCGTCACACCCACGTTTGGATTCCGGTGGACACGATTGATAAGAAAGCCTCGGCCCGTGATCCTTGTGCCCACGGGGCCATGTTACCCGTGACGACGTCGTTTGGGATCATCCCGCCTCATTTCGACACCTGGACGTGTCGCAAACACCAAGGGCTGTGTGCCCTTATCTACGCGCGAATCGACATGTATTCGCGACACGCCTAGTGGTGGTAGAGTCAGCGCGCGTGGCCGTGTTAGCGATGGAAACCCCGACTTACCGCCTTGAGGACGTTGAGCCGCTCCTGCGAGTCCCGGAATACCTGCCGGTACTGACCTAGACTTTCCCGCAAGACGGCGTCCTTGGTCATGCGCCCCTCGCATATTGCCTTCATCTTGTTCTCCATCTCCTTGCGCAGGAAGGGCTTGCCCAGGCTTGTTTCGAACTCCATGCGATCGAACCCTGTGATGAGTGCCACACCGAGCTGCGTCGGGATGAAGACCTTGAGGCCTCTCCGCCCCGCCGACGACGCGCCGCGACCCCCTCTGCCACCCCTTCCGCCGCGACTGCCGCGGCCGCCTCGGCCACCTCTGGCTGGCGGCGACGGAGGCCTATCCTGGTCGTCGTCATCGTCGTCACCATCCTGGCCACGTTGGCCACCGTCCGCTAGCTGGACGTACTCTCTGTCTTGGATCTTCTGAATGTGCTCTGCCATTGTCGCGTCCGTACCGATCCCGTTGGCGTCCATGAGGGCGATGAGATCGGCTTCCGTGAGGTACCCGGGCGGGCTCGTTTTGCCATCCGTCATCATCGCATCTGTTGGCTGGAATATCTCGCCCGGCGTGAACTGCGGGAGCTGCGCCGAATCGTTCCATTTTTCGTAGACAAACACGTCGAGGTAGTTGCGCTCCAGGACAACCAACCCGCGAGTGTGGAACGTCTCCTCGCCGTAGAGTATCTCGACGTCTGTGGCGAGGCCCTTGGCGTCTTCTGAGCAGCACGCCAAGAACCGGCGCACGACGTACTCGTATAACTGCTTCTCGTCCGCATTGAGCACCGTCGGTGCCGCGTATGTGACGGGGTGAATGGGCGGATGGGCCTTGTCGTCGTGTTTTCCCTCGCGCGGCTGATGAAAGTTGCCGTCCAGGAGCCCCTGCACGTATTCTCCCCATCTGCTGTCGGGCGTTTGCTTCCTGACCAGCGCCTTGAGATCCATGCCTTTGTCGAAGCGATCCGTCTCGGTTCTCGGGTAGCTGATGAACCCCTTGTTGTAGAGGCCCTCCGCGACCGTCATGGCTTGCTGACCGCTCATGCGCAAGAGGCGCGTCGCCGCCTTCTGAAGCTCGACGGTCGTCAGGGGCAGAGGCTTCCACTTCCTCGTCGGCTTCTCTTGGACCTTTGTCACCTTGGCCTTCTTCGCCTTGATGCAGCGCTCGTAGAGGATGACAACAGACATCCGGTCGAAGAGCCGGTTCCGGGACCAGTTGAAGTTGACCTTCTTGCCTTCGCGGGAGTGCATGACCTTGATGCTCCAGAACTGCTCGGGCACGAAGTTTTGAACCCGGAAGTATCGATCGACCACGAAGCCCAGGGTCGGAAACTGACACGAGCCTAAGCGTCCGGTTAGAACATGTGCGGGAAATCAATGCGGGAGCTTACCATAGCTGATTGTGCGTTCTTGCAGAGGCCCGCCAAGGGGTCGAAGGCTAATGGTCAGGAAACGGGTGAAGGCGTAACCGATTCGAAGGTCCAGCTCTATCCTTGCGTCCACGGCATCGACCTGCTTCTGGTCCAGGTCTGTCAAACGTCGTGCAGCAGTCAGGATGTGCCTAGGTTACGTTAGAAACATTGTCACCACACGCAACGAGGGTTACATACGCTCGCTCGATATTGCTGAACGTGGCGCGCTTGACGGTGATTCTATTGTTGCCTTTCTTGGCGGCGTTGACAATTTCTTTGCCAATGTGTTCTCCCTCTCGATCGCAATCCGTCCAGATGATGAGGAGTTGGCAGTACCGAGCTTGGCGCTCAATGTTCTCGGCCACAGTCTTTTTGTCCTGGGTAAGGTCAGCAGCTGCGGCATGCTATGCAGGTCGAACCGGCGGTCTCGAACCTGAGGCACCACGGTCACGACTGGTGCGGTGAACAAGCTCTCGGGAGGGGGATGCGACCAGTTCTTGTTCTCGTCGGTGAACTCGAGCCCCGTGAGATGGCCGAGCACGGCAGTCATGGTGACGCTGCAGGGGCCCCATGGTGCGCCAAAGTCGAAGTCGAAGCCGTAGTTCTTGATATACTGGGAGCGCGTGTTGTGCTGAGAGCGGTCAGTCCCGGGACGGAACGCTGCAAAGAGTATGCTGGAATACTCACAACATCAGGGTTCCGTCCTGCCAAGTGGCCAGCAACGGCCTTGGAGATGGAGGGCTTCTCCGCCACACAGAGCACCTTCATGGTCTCGCTTTAGGGGAGAGATGTGAGGTTCACGAGCGTAAAGGTGTGTAATGAAGGCTTCTATGCTCGCTCGCATGCTCTAAACATACATCCACGAGTATTATGTTGAGAGAGCAAGAGCATGGTGCGGTAAAACTAGTGGTCTGCCTGGGAGACGCGTCTTCACAAGGCAAACGCGTCAAGCTCTTCTCCTGCCGGCCTTTGGCCACTCCAACTTCTTCAAATATTCAATAGCACGCGAGATGTGTCCAGTGCAGCAGGTTCAGCTTGCAACGGTCAGAGTCTGGACCTCGTCTCCTCCGGGCTTTATTCGTGACCCTGAGTTGCCGCGACGTGGACAAATGTTTTGATGTGATTACACCGAACGAGAAGTTTTGCACGGGGTGAGGTCCAGCTGCCCCTCGCTAGCGGCCTGGTGCAACCCCACAGCGGGGCCGCCGCGCTCATTGGAGCTCTCTGCAGCGCTGAGCCGCGCCGTGCTCCCCCAGCTCCGGGGCACGCCTCCTGGCTCGCCGACAGGCGATCTCGCCCACAGATGGCTGCCACCACAGCCGGCTGCAGGGGACGGAACTGACGTAAGCCACTGGCCCAGCTCAGTACGGTATCTCATTGCCGGAGGAATTGTAGGCTGATCTAAGATGATCACGAATCTGACATCCTGACGACACGACCTATGAATCCGTCATGACGGCCCCATTATGCTTTGTTCAAAAGGCTATGGAGAACCGGCTGGCCACGGCTTCTCAAAGGACGGGCCGTCGGTGGTCAAAGTGCCCGAAGACCCCTGCGCAGCGCTGCGGCTGCGGGGACCTAAGCTCTCCCAGGACCCATCTACGGATCTATGACGCGCCTTGTTTGCACCACCTTTCGCAGTGGCTCCGAGTGAACCGCCAAGGCCCTTTTGAACAAAACCATCGCGACTCTCCAACCACCACGTCGCAGCGCAATTGCAGCTGTATCCTCCCCCAACCGAGTCAAACGAAGAAGCGCAGACCACTGACACAATGGCGCTACCCTCAATCAAGTCCCTCGAGGAATGCTCCGAGTGGGCCAAGGTCGTCGAACCCTTCATCCCGCAGCTCCTCGACCTCCCGCGCAAGATTGCCGCGAGCCCGCAGTCGCTGCCCCAGATCTACCTCGAGACGAACCCCCTCGTCTCGGGCTTTGCCTTCTCCCTCCTCATCGCCGTCCTCACCCTCGGCGTGTCCGAGTACCACAGAAACTACTCCCAGATCGACCGCTTGTGGAGTTTGCTGCCCAACTGGTACGTCCTGCACACGGCTGCGTGGGCGTACTTGAACGGCGAGCCGTCGCAGAGAGTCGCCCTTGCTGGTGCCGCGACCACTCTTTGGAGTGTAAGTAATTCGACTCGTGCCTCGCAGAATTGGTCACTGACAAGAGGTTCCCGACAGGCCCGGTTGACCTTCAACTACTGGCGCAAAGGAGGCTACGAGCGCGGAAGCGAAGACTACAGATGGTACGCGTGCCCTCCGTGACCGACCCTCTGACTTGGCTAACACCCTCTGCCAGGGAAATCGTCCGTAAATACGTCCCCGGCTGGGTCTTCTTCATCTTCAACGTGACCTTTATCTCCTTCATCCAGTCCATCCTCCTCTTCGCCTTCGCCGCCGCGCCGGCCTACTCCCTCCTCCTCGCCAGCCGCCTCGAGCCCGACGTCACCGCCGCGGACTGGGGCTTTTTCTCCATCATGGTCGGCCTCGTCCTCAGCGAGTTCATCAGCGACGGCCAGCAGTGGGACTACCAGAACGCAAAGGCCTCGTACAAGAAGGACGCCAAGGTGCCGCGCGGCTGGGCGCAGGAGGACCTCGACCGCGGCTTCGTCACGAACGGCCTCTGGGCGTACAGCAGGCACCCCAACTTCTTCGCCGAGCAGATGATCTGGTTCGTGCTGTACCAGTGGAGCTGCTACGCGACCAAGGTCCTGTACAGCTACACGTTCGCGGGCTCCGCGTTCCTCATCATGCTGTTCCAGGGCTCGACGTGGCTCACCGAGCTCATCACCTCGGGCAAGTACCCCGAGTACAGCGACTATCAGAAGCAGGTCGGCATGTTCATGCCCAAGTCGCTTTTCCCATACTCCAAGCCACAGCCCAAGGTCATCCGGACGAGCGAGCTTGCCAAGAGGCAGAGCAAGAAGGATAAATAAACTAGTCAACCGTTGACATGACTATCTACGAACTCTGAGGCCTGTCAACTAACGTATCTTTTAAGGAGGTTATAGAGGCGTTCTATAGAGACGGCCCAAGCATGCGTGTGTACTTCTAGGGGATCTTTCTACTTCTAATGAGGTCGTTATGGAGTTCATCTATGCATCCGGAGTCTGTAGTCATAGCAATCGTAAACCCATTAAACCTGACGTGTAAACAACCCTCTTACTCGTCGAGCTTCAAGCTGGCCAAGCTGTCAACGTAGTACGCCGGCACGGCCACGGCGCCCTCCTTTTCCCAGTCCTCCTTCTTGTTCACGCCCGTCAACACGGCCAGCGTGCCGCCCAGCTTGCCCTCGATGCCGAACTTGATGTCGGTGTCGAGGCGGTCGCCAATCATGCAGGTGCGCTCGCGGTTGAGCTGGAACTTGCCCTCGACGGCGTCCATCATGGCCTGCGACGGCTTGCCCAGGGCCACGGGCTGCTGCTGCGTCATGTTGATGAGCGGGACCGAGACGGAGCCCGCGCCGGGGAAGAAGGTGTGCGCCATGGGCAGCGTGCTGTCCGTGTTGGTGGCGAGGAAGACGGCGCCGCGGCGGAGGTACTGGTAGCCCAGCGACAGCTTCAGGTAGTTGATGTGGAAGTCGAGGCCGGCCAGGACGACGCCGACCTCCGGGTCGAGCGCGGAGCCGTCAGCGATGGCGGCGAAGTCCTCAGGCGCGATGTCGCGGCGGAGGTTCGGGTCCGTGCCGCCAATGAAGTCGACCCCTTCGGCGCGGAGCTCGGCCTCGATGCCGGCCTCGCCGATGACGAACACCTTGCGCTTGTCGGCGGGCAGGTCGAGGATGCGGGAGATGTAGACGGCGGACGAGTAGGCGGAGCCGAAGATGTCCTCGACCTCGGAGGGGATGTCGAGGGCGGTGAACTTCTTGTGGTAGTCCGGGCGGGACTTTGTCGAGTTGTTGGTCACGAAGACGGTGCGCTTGCCTGTTGATTGGGGGAAACGATGAGAACTCGGTGAACAGGGGGGGGAGTGTCAAGTGTGACCAAAAATATGGCTTGGGGGTGTTTGAGGTTAATGGTTGGGGGGCAAGGTAAGATCATGGGATGGGTGAGCAACCTCTTGAGCGAAGAAAGATGAGCGTCTCGCGGATGCCGTCGAAGAGGTGGTCGCCGGACCAGAGGACGCCTATTGCGGGAGGGCGGGGTGGTTAGCCGGGTCCGGGACGAAGAGAACTGGCTGCTCCGGATTGGAGACGATGAGATTTACCATCGCAATCGATCAGAAAGACCTAGGTTCCACCTCGTCATTAGCATCGCGCATCTCATCTCTCACGATCATCGTGAGATGCTCAAAAGGGTTGTGAAAATGACTCAAATGAGGTGAGGGGCGCGGGGTGGCTTTCTGCTCACGTCAAACTTGTCGAGGAATTCTTGGATGGCGGGGGGATCGCCGGTGAGGTACTTTGGCTGCTGCTGTTGAGACATCGTGACTTTTCAGAGAGCTTTGGTGTCTTTTTTTTTTTTGGTCAACAAATTCTGGGACAGTAGGTATGAGTTGCAGCGGTAGTTCTGAAGTGAGTTTCGGAGGGGAGGGACAAGGGTGCAGATGCGGGTGGATGACGACGGAAGTGGGAAGTGAGGTTGGACGGCCATCGTCCGATTGGCCAGGCACGCCGGCGGCGGTGCTCTGCGTGTTGCGGCTGGCTTACGGGGCGGGTCGGTGCTGGTGGTGTCGGGCTTGAGATGATTGAAACCCGGGGGAGGATGGACTGAGATGGTGCGGAGTGCGGTCTCGGCCTGGGTGAAAGACCAGAGGAGATTTGCATTCCTCTCCTTTAGCTTGTATGCAATAAGCTAGGCATGCTCTTGAACGTGCCATCGAGGAAGAGGCGGCACACTTGGGGTCCGGGGTTGCGGGATGGAATGAACAGACGATGAGAGCTCCCCAGATGGAACAAGCCAACTCGGATCTCCAACCTCTCTTTGAAAGCTTCCCCGGATTTCATCCAGCGTGCCCCAAGACAGTACCGAGATGAGAGTCAGTCGCATCCATCTTAGTCACCGCTTCTTGAGGTCCATCCTCATCTCATCACAAGCGAAACCGGACTGCCACGGGCTGCAAGGCGCGGCCAACCCGCATTCTTATCAGACATGCCTGTCCCGCATGTCAGCGCAGTGGCGTAAGCATGGCGCGCTCATACGATGCAGTTCAACAGAAGTGAAACCTCTGCATGATCCAGAAAGGATGAGGAATGCGCCTTGGCACATTGTTTCCCCTCACTTTTGACTCTCGCCAGGCAGCCACAGACGCCGCCTTCGTCTTGGACCAACCGCACACTGTCTATGCCGCCGTTCAACAATACAAAATCCGAACGGAATGAAATGGGGATGCAAGACACTGGCACGGGCTGCAGACCATCCCACTGGCGCGCGCGCGGGGGTAGAAAAAGGCCACGGCCATGCGGCCCCACGCGGAAGAAGAAACGAGGCAAACACGCATCTCCGGGTGCGGAGTTTCTACATCCTGTCGGGCCTGCATGACATACTCGGTGCCAGCGCCTGTCTTCCCATCCTCGATGTCGACTACAACGACTGCTCTCCAATCAGAGATCCCACTGCACTTCATTGCAAGTCGGAGGCTATCTGACTCTGTCGGCGACTCCTGCAATGCTGATGATTACCGAGGCAGATGACGTCAGTCTGTCGCATGGCAGCAGTATGCATGAGTCGTTGAACGGTCTGGCCGGTGGTGGCGTCAAGAACGATTTTTCATGTCGGACTTAGGTATCGCAATTTTTTTTATTAATGTTTTGTTGTTTCTATAATTGTGTGTGTCTCTCTCCCCCTAGTGACATGCCCATAGAGTCCGTAAATACGGTCGGCGCCAACGGCAAACGAAACAGCTGACAGCTGGCCGTGTGCCGATCTCCTGTAGCAGATCACGCATCGCGTCGCTCGTGCTCAATCTTCAACCTCGGAATGTCTGAGATCCCCGCCGAAGCCCCGAATCCCCCGTGTGAGCCGGTCAAGGCACAAGCAGGATGCCGTCCTTGGCCGCGTCCAAAAGAAAATGGGGGCGCCGCCAGATGGAGGGGCACCACCACGGTACGGTCCACGAGTGTCGATCAGCGGCACCCTTGAAAAATGGAAAAAAGTAAAGGACGCTAGGCGCCCCCACCATCCCTGAAGGGACTGGAAGGTCCCTGAGAATCAGTGGGCTTTCCATGTGCATCTGCATGTCAATGACCTGCGGCTCCTCCGTTCGCAACCTGTCGCTTACAAACTCCGACGACGGTGTCATATCTCATCATCCCATCCCACCACCCTCCCTGAACCCTGAGGCGGTTCGTCTCTTGCTGTGTAAGCTATTGAATGAGTAATTTGTGCCAGAACCGGCCATCCATCGCTAAGCAAACTACACGTTCCATTCCTTCGGCGGTGAAGGTGAATGGCTGCCTCACCGCTTTCGCTTGTTTCACCGACAGCTAGAGACCCTGGGGAATGAGCGTGGGGGGATGACAAAATGAGGAAGGAAAGAACACCGTCCGTGACCTTCCCCCCCCAAGTGATCTAGACCTTCTTCCGGGGACAGAGCACGGGACGCCGCGATTGGCACGTTGAAGAGGGTGGCTGGCCGGCCGGCCTAGTACATGGCTTGCAGAGAGCTGGCTGGCTAGGACACAACGGGAGGTCATGTCTGAAATAGGTACCTTTCAAGGTGAAGCAGAAGACCGCCCGTCAGAGCAGGCGCAAAAACAAGACACAAAATACTAATCCCACTAGTCCCATCCGATCCGGCTCAACGGACCTTGCCCGGACGGATATTGCCAATTCACCGAACCCTTTTGATTTTTCATCGCGCTTGCCCTTTCGGTCCGGTTGCTCATTTCCACGAGTGACTCGAAGCCGAGATAAGACAGAGAATCAGTTGTTTGCTCCGGGCGGCGTTATAAAATCTCTACCATGCCCGTTTGCCACCTCTCTGACTCTACCTCACCTTACAGTCGAAAAGTACCTACCTGTCTTCCTCCGACGCAGCCTCCAGACACGAGATAAATACCGGCTGTTTGACTTTTTTCCACCTCGTCACAACCGATCCAGGTTTCCTCGACGGCCTACCCACAAGCAGAGAATCAAAGCATTGATACAAAAAATAATTCTCCGCTACCCACCTACACGACGGCAACCCACACGGTCCCGGCCTCGCACCTTGCTGCTTTTCCTTTCTCAATTACCCTGTCTGCCACAAACTAATACCTACCTTGCCTGCCTTGTCCCCTGCCTTTCCTCCACCTACGCAAATCCTCGCCGAGAAAACCTGGCAGCATAATCGTCCCTACCCACGCGGCACGCTATCTATCTTATTTTCCCCACTGCCCAAAACAACCGTCTCATCAATATTGGGACCGAAAAAAGCACCACCGGCAGCACCAAATCATATTAAGCTCCACCACCCGTGCCCATTTCCGACGCCGACTTTAATAGCAGCCATGGCCCCCGTCACCCTCACCGAGGAGCAGTTGCTCAGCCTGCGTTCTTTCCCAACCTACGATAACAGAATGGCTTCTCACACGCAGACCACCCAGACGCCCGCAACGGCTTCCACCGATGCCTCCTCCCAGGCCGACTACTTCACATCCTCGCTGAGCTCGGCGACCAACTCGTCTCGCAACTCGGTCGAGATCCCCGACCGCGTCGTTGCCGTCGAGACCCCTGGCGGCACCATCACCACCCACAAGACCAAGAACCCTCTGCCGCCTCTCTCCCGCGAGTACCCAAAGCCCACCAAGGACATTGACGTCGAGGAGGCCCTTGCCCGCAAGCCTGGCCGCTGGACCGTCAGGGGCGCCCTCGCCGTCGAGAGACCGGCCCAGGTCGTCGACGAGGAGAAGCTCAAGGCCCAGCGCCGCAAGGCCCTCGAGGACGCCAAGAAGGAGCTGTTCGCCGCCAGCGAGGCCTTTAAGGCGGCACCGATTCCGTCGCGCAAGAACGACTTCTAGGCGACGACCGAGGACGACCACGGGTTAGCGATGGAGCAAATCGTCCAAGGCGACGGTTACAACACCATCACTACCGCCCACGAAGTACCACCAGCGACAACTGCATTTCCATGTTCCTGCATTTTCACTAAACTTCGACACTCGGCTTGTTCGGCACGCGAACGGACTCGCGTCGGCCGTCAGGTGCCAGTCGAAGACGATACCCAGCTTAGAGCGGATTAAGAAACGGGGAAGAGCACCCGAACGGTCCGAGACAGGGAGACAGAGGGGCGTCTGACGGCAGCGTGTTTCGGCGCATCAGCGGCGCACGGAGAGACGATGCCATTGCCCCAGAGGGAAAACGGCGTTTCATTTGAGATGGAGCATGATTCTTGTCGGTCAATCATTGCAACAAAAAAAACGGGGATGAGGAATTTCTGAAGAACAAGCTGCCTTTTTTTTGTTTCTTTGCAGTGGCCTGCCAACCTGTACATAAGTTGCTATGAGCAGATCCTAATAAATGGTCTCGATCGACCTAAATAACTCTTTGACATTTGAACCGTTCCTTACACTATTGTACATGGAGCTGACATCCTAGTCGAGGCGCGCGGCTAGCGAGAAGCCGTACTGGATCATGGCGATGAAGCCGGCGAGGTTGATGAGGGTAGAGATGCCGTGTAGCTTGCCAAACGACTTGTTGAGGGCCTGCATCTCCTGCGAGTGCGGTGCGGGGTCGTAGCTCTTCTTGCCGTCCTTCTTCTCTGTTGTCTGCTGTCAGTCGTTTTTTCCCATCCGTGCGTCTGCCCCACTGAGCGTCGTCCGTTACATACCTTGAGCGTATCTGGCCTTCATGACGGTCACGGTCTTGGGCAGGACGACGACGAGGTTGACGAGGCCGGTGACGAACATGGTGGCGATGGGCAGCAGCGCGCTGTAGCGGTTGGACTCCTGGAGCAAGCCGCTGATGCTGCTGGCGTTCTCGCCCAGGAGGCTGCGGCTGCCGGGGTACGTCAGGGCGAGGACGGCGGGGAGGGCCGTCTGGATGGCGAAGTAGACGGGGAAGAGGGCGTTCTGGGCGGTGGCGAAGGCGGGCCGCTCGAGGACGCGGAACATGGTGATGCCATTCACAAACGACTTTTGCGGGATGTGTCAGTCATCTCATCTCATGCTGGGCGTTGCATGAGGATTACTTTTGCATCCTATGGTGACTTACATGGAAGAACGTCGTTCCCAGGAGGGCGCCATAACTGAGCCGAGGAGGTTAGGTATCAATGATGCATGATTCGAGGTCGTGTTACTTCATGGGTTACGGCTTACGAGATGATGTGGTACGGCCCCGGGGAGAAGGCGATGGAGTCAGGCATGATGGGTGACTGCGATTGTTTGCAAGGTAGTTTGACGATGCTAGCTACTCTTTGGATTGGAGTTGAAGTGGAAAGTGTGCCGTGAGGTTGCGATGGAGATCTGCAGGATAATGAGGTGCCGTCTGGAACGAGCCGCTGGGGGAGACAGGGGTTCGACAGAATGTATGAGGTCACCTCCGCAGAGCTCCATTCTAGCGGTAGCCGACAGCGCTTGGAGCTACTTTTACCTAGGGGACCTTACTCATGAGTCTTTCGCCCAGAGTGTGCACATTGCTCTACCTAGGTTTGATTACTACCCATTCAATGCGTCGTTCATTATTCGCTGGTATACCATGGATGGTCCAGTGATCGGAGCAAGGATAGGAATCAATGGATGATGCTCTCGACACCAAAGATGCTGATCCCGCTGGCTCCCTTATCGATGCCATCACGTGATCTCGCGACGACAATCGCTGAGCTGCAACTCGACGCGGTGCCGGGTCGCGCAGCAGCCTAGAGCTCAATGGACCTCATCTGCCTAAACTGAGCCAGGGTCCAGGTCCAAGTCCCGCTCGCCGTCACCAGTCACAACGACCTTCATTAATACACGGATTCCCTTCTGGGTATCTTGGACCAATCTTTAAAACTTTGTAAACCCAATGCCTGATCACTAAAGTCGCCAAAACACTGCACCTCGTCAACCTGCCCACAATGGCCGACAAGGAGGCGTCAGTATACATCGTCGACCTCGGCTCGTCCATGGCCGATTGTCACAACGGCCGCATTGAATCGGACCTAGACTGGAGCATGCGCTATGTCTGGGACAAGATCTCGACCACGGTCGCCGCCTCGCGCAAGACGTGGACCGTCGGCGTCATCGGTATCAAGACGGACGAGACACGGAACGCGATGCAGGACGACGAAGGGTACGAGAACATCTCCGTCTTGCAGGAGCTCGGTCCCATGACCATGACGTCTCTGAGGGAGCTCAAAGAGGTAATCAAGCCGAGCGAGACGGAGACCGGCGATGCCGTCTCTGCGGTGGTCCTCGCTGTAGACATGATTGAGACCTTCACCAAGAAGCTCAAGTTTAAGCGGCGCATCTACCTTATTACTGACGGTCTGGCTCCTATCGACGAGGATGGTGTCGACTCGATTGCCAAGAAAATCAACCACGATAGGATTGAGCTGATTGTTTTGTAAGTCCAGGAGACCTTTGATCAAGCTCTCTCACTAACACACATAAAGGGGGTGGACTTTGACGATGCAGAGTACGGCTTTAAGGAGGAAGACAAGCCATCGATCAAAGTCTGTGGCCTTTCCTTCCCGCTCAGTATACGCCACTGACACTTTTTACAGAAAAAGAATGAGAAGCTTCTCAAGGGCCTCGTCTCGCAATGCGACAACGCCCAGTTCGCAACCATCGCAGAGGCCATTGGCGAGCTTGACACCCCCCGCCTCAAGCCCGTCAGGCCCTACAAGACGTACGACGGGCCCCTGACCCTCGGCCTCGCCGATCCGCCCCCGGAACTCAAGATCCCGCCCACGCCCGTCGTCATTAACGTCGAGCGCTACTTCAAGACCAAGCAGGCCAAGCCCCCGACGGCCTCCACGGTCGTTGTATCAACGGAGGGGCAGGGTGCCGCGTCGCAGTCGACGCATACCCTTGATGGCGAACCAATGGAGGGCGTCGAGTCCACTTCGGGCTTTGCGGCGGTCAAGTCCGCGCGGACGTACAAGATCAACGACCCCGAAGCGCCGGGCGGCAAGCGAGACGTGGAGTTCGAATCGTTGGCCAAGGGCTACGAGTACGGTCGAACAGCGGTGGCGATCAGTGAGTCCGAATGGAACGTCACCAAGCTCGAGACAGTCAAGAGCTTTAGCATTATCGGTTTCATCCCCTGTGAAAAGGTGCAATTCTCTCCCCTCATCGTGGTTGCCCCTTTTTACTCACGCGGGTCTAGTACGAACCATTCCTCAACATGGGAGAGACTTGCATGACAGTTGGCCGCAAGTTTGACGAAAAGTCGCAGCTCGCCCTCTCCTCCCTCATCCACGCCCTCTACGAGCTCGAGTCCTACGCCGTCGCCCGTCTCGTGGTCAAGGAAAAGAAGGACCCCGTCCTGGTTCTCCTTGCCCCGCGCATCGAGCCGGACATGGAATGCCTCTACGACGTGCCCCTCCCCTTCGCGGAAGACGTGCGCGGGTACCAGTTCCCGCCCCTCGACCGGGTCATCACCGTCAGCGGACAGAAGATCACGACGAACCACCGCCTGCTGCCTGGTGACGAGCTTACCGATGCGATGAGCGATTACGTCGACTCCATGGACTTGGGCACTTTTGGTGCAGACGATGAAGGGTGAAGCAATCCCCATAGACAGAATGCAGATCGCATCACTGACACTCGCGCAGAAACCCGTCAGAGTACGCCGCCATCGACGATACCTATAACCCCATCATCCACAGAATCAACCAGGCAATTCGCCAGAGGGCAGTCAACCCCGATGGTCCCATCGACCCCGTCCCTCCAATACTCGTCCGCTACGCCGCACCGCCCGAGGACCTCGTCGAGAAGTCAAAAACCCAAGTCGAAGCCCTCATCTCAGCAGCACAAGTCAAGAAAGGTAAAGCAACGAGTCCTAGCGCCCTCCTAGCCGCTACGCGGAACTCTGCCGCTGACAAACAAACCCCCCACCAGTCCCTCCAAAGGCAAAAGGCAAACGCAAGTACGAAAGCTCGAAGCCGCTATCGGGCCTCGACATTGACGCGCTCCTCGGCACGCAGCCCAAACGCCCCAAAATCTCGGCGGAAAACGCTATCCCCGAGTTCAAGCGCGCCCTCGCTGTCGCGGACGAGGTCGACGCGATCCGCGACGCCGCGCGCCAGATGGGCGACATTGTCGCGCGGCTCGTCGCCGACAGCTTCGGCGACGCAAACTACGCCCGCGCCGCCGAGAACCTCGGCGTCCTGCGCAGCGGCCTCGTCGACCTGGAGGAGCCGGGCGTGTACAACGACATCATCAAGGACCTCAAGGGCAAGATGCTCTCCGGGGAGCTGGGTGGCGACCGGCGCGAGATGTGGTGGAAGATACGGACGTCGAGGCTGGGGCTCGTTGATCAAGCGACGTCCGAGGTTTCGGATGTTACGAGCGAGCAGGCCGATGAGGTTTGTTTTTCCGTCCATGATGAGGCGTGGCGTTCCATGGCTAACGTGATCACAGTTTTTGAAATCAAAATGATGGGCTACGAAGCGGGCGTTTATTCATGTAAATCAGGGGTATCAATCACGGGTCCCAATCGAACCCGTGCTTCCTTCTATGATCACTTATCTGCTTCTATCCATCCTTCATCCTTGGGTGTCATGTGGCATTTGCATAGGAACCTGTCCTCAAGTGTCAATCGACTGCTCCTCGCCTCCCATGTTCAGTTTCTTCTGGTCCTTCTTGGCTCTCGCCGCAACCGCCAGGCCAATCATCGCCTGGATAGTGTAGGCCGCGTCGTTGCCCGCGTTATGCAGGTTGCTGTGCTGGATACCCAGGTCAGTGAGAACCAGGCCCAGGCTGCGGCCCTGCGTCTCCTGGCGCCAGGCCTGATGCATGTCCTTGGTGTCGAGGGTGCGGCTCATGACGCCGCCAACGCTCCACAGCTCCACGCCCATACTGTCCAGATACCCGAGATCGGATCGGAGGTCGTGGCCGAGAAGGACAATGTTACGGAAACGTCTGTCGGCGTCGGCAACGCCCCCTTGGCCAGCAACAGAGAGATTGCTGATTGTGGCGATGATCATGTCGCCGAGATCGCAGAGCTTGGGGTACTCGCTCTTACTATGTCCTGTTAGCGTGAGCTTGCACGTTATCTGCCTTGAAGAAGAAAACTTACCCAAAATTGAAGAGCTCGGGGCAACCCTTGACGTATTTGCGGTTGCGGATGTGACGGTACTCGTCGGTGATGAAGTGGCGGTTCTTGATGAACGGGACCCAGTTGCAGCCATTCTCGCCAAGCGGGACGCCGGCAAGGTCTCTGGTGTCCAAGGTCGACAGTCCGATTTCAAGAACGGTACCGTGATGTTCTTCGGCGACCTCAATATCGATGCACACAAAAACAACATCTTGATCCCGGGTATGGGGTGCCGGCTGGTCCAATGCGACCTCCTTCTCCTTCTCGGCGATTTCGCTTGCTTTGGGACGGAGACCGAGGAACAGCTGCGCGTCATAGAGTGACTCATCGCGGTACTGGGCCTTCTCCTGTTTCTTCTTCTTGTTCTTGGTATTTGCACCCTTGTAATTGTTGTGTATATTGAGGAGGGACAGGAGCATCTCCTTACCAAAGGTGGTGGCGTCGGCGAGTGCATCATCCTTCTCAGGGGGCGGGACCGCATTGCGGAGGGCACGGTACTCGCTGTGTGAGGCCGAGCGGGCAATGTACTTTGGGCGGATGGTACAGCTCGAGCCGAAGGTGATGTAGAACATCTCGCCTGGCTTGCCGAGCGGGATGGCCAGCCTCGTCTGTATCGAGGCGTTAACCACGTCGAGGAAGTGCTGGAATTGCTTGGTGGGGACAAAGATGTAGGGGGTCCTGTCTAGAGCCTGGGGGTGGTAGACATAGAAGCTGGACAAATGTTAGCTCATGGTTTCAAGAGGCAGCCCGTTGAAGCCAGACAGGAAAGCTTACAAGTCCCAGGTCTGTTCCTCCGTCATATCATCAAAGAAAGGTTGAGCCTATAAAATTTGTTAGCTATAAATCTCTCGAACCCCACAACTGGACTCACCTTGGGGCGGTTGGTCTTGCCGATAAAGCTCGTGGAGTATCTCTGGACCAAGTCCCACGAGACGAAGGTCATGCCTTCCTCAGAGAGGTCACCGGCCTTCAAACTTTTAAACTCTGGGAAATCTTGCGAGACAAGAGCGTTGAAATCGGCAGGTGCCAACTTTTCGGACTTGGAAGGCTCAAGGGGCGGTCCAACGTAGTGGAGAGTCGGCATGGTAATGGACTTGCCTTTAGTGGCGGCCTTTTTGGCAGCAATCTGACGATCTAGAGCGAGAGGGTCTAGGACGATAGTCTCAGGGGCCTCTTCGACTTCTTGGTGTGGGCCCTCTTCGAACCGGATCTTGTCGCCAAAGGCCTGGATGAGACGCTCGATCTGTTGGGCTTGCGTAAGGGCCATCTTGAGTCAATGGTACGGAAATATCGTCAGAGATGTAGGTAGAGAAGCAATCGAGAAGATAAGAGGTTGAATGTTGGGCAAGAAGGGTGTAGTGTTTGGTGTACGGATTAGTGGACGATGTTTACCTTGTAGATGACTTGGTGTGTACGTTGATGGATAGTTAAAGGTTGGATTGAAGTAGGTAAATGAGACATGGACGAAACGAGGCCTTTTTCAAGGAGCTCAGCTTGGTGGCCGGGATACTGGAAACGGCGAATGGGGTATGACACGCCACTCCTCGTCCATCAGCAAGATTTGAATGGTGAATACTCAGTGATGAATATCACGACGTAGTGTCAAATTAACAAAGATCAAGGCAGATGAATACACAGAACATCCAGCTCATATCCAGGAATTATTTACAGATCGTCAGTGGCCCGAGTTATGAACCCGCAGGATTAGCAGTTGAGTGCCTGTGTGCCCTACTTCTGAGTTCGTTATGGTGAGCTTCGTGCCTAGATCCAGGAGCTCGCGTTCCCTTGAGCTAGCAGCCACTAAACAACAGCTTGGAGGGCAGTGGAAAAAAACCTAGAAGCGATCCAACGATAAAGGCATAGACATCTCGAAAGTAAAAAAGGCTTCAAGAGATGTTATAAGTCGTTGACATCAATGTTAACTGGAAATGCTTGAAGGTCAAGAGAATCCTAAATCCGCCACCAGATCTTCGGAAATCACTAATAGTCGATTCAAGTGTACCCTAAAAAGGCAAGTGAATTTGTAAAGAAAGGGCACTAGTCCCTAAGATACTTGGTCTCTTAAGGGTGTCGCCGAGAATACCAAGCCAGCAATAACGCCCTGCTATTTATGTAAAGACTTTTCTTTGTCCGCATACTAGCAGAGCTTCCTGGTATGTACAAACACCTCTGCATGTTCCATACAAAGACACGAAAACATATCATCTGCGGTTCCAACAACTGAAGCATTGAGCATGTGGCTTGTTTGGCACAGCATTGACCGACTTGCTGCTACAAAGCCGTTGACAGTGCGAAACCACATGGCACTGTTTTGATAACAGCAGTCAGCAAAGAATGCGCTGAGTTGAATTGACTTGTAAGAAAGGTTGACACCTTGAAGCTTCTTTGCTCCGGGAGCGTGCGGCAAGCCGATGTGTCAGATCTGCCCCATCAAGAGACTCTTCTCAATCTTAACTCATTATAAGAAGAAACTCAAACTCAAGGTACTGAGTGGTCTTCACTACTGCAAACCAAAGGTTTTGTAGTTAGACGGTATTCCGCGGTTGAAAAGCAGCCCGTCTTGCTGCCTTGACACTTGAGAGGACTCCATTGGGCCGGTCCACAGAGAGCAAAGCCAGGTGTGTTCTAAAACCATCAACTAGCCTGGCAAACCCCAACCGTCCCTAGCGAATGCCAGTTTCAGCTATAACCTCGTGGCAGAGCAGAGCATGAATCGGGACATCAACGCTCGCAAAGTTGAAATAGGCATAATGTGTATAGGTGGGAGAGAAGAGAGACGAGAGGGCCTCATGCCATTATACATAATGTTACAACATGCCCTAATACCCAAAGACCAGTCCAGTCGTTACACGACCCTTATTCCCCCCCTTTTTCTCGAGGTTCTCGAGGGAGGCCACCCAAAAAACGCCACCGCTATGAAGAACGACCAGTCTGTTATTACAAGTACCATCAACCAGCAAGCAGGACCTCCCCCAAGGAGGTTCCGGCTCTAGGCGCATGAGTCCCTTTATTTTTGTCGTTTGTATTGTTGTTGTTACATTTCGCACTTTCCCGTCGTCGAGGTCATCGAGTGGCTAATGTCAAGACGTCGTTTTCTCGAGCAACTCCTTGGCCTCGTTGACCTTGGTCGCGAGGTACGGGCTTCCGCCGCGATCCGGGTGGTTGAGGAGCATCAGCGTGCGGTGCGCCTTGCGGATCTTGTCGCGGCTGATACCGCTCTCCCTATAGGACACTATGTTAGCTTCCCGGCTTCTGGGTTCCGATATCTCGCAAGACTGGCGCGAGGTCGGACGGGGTTCGTCGCTTACTGGAGAGAGAGGATGAGGCAGGCCTCGCGCTTGTTCATGCGGGGCTCGAAGCCGCCCTTGTAGAAAGCCTTGCCCATCGCGCCGACGCCGCCGCGAGATCGGCGCCATGCGACAAGACCGGCTCGGCCCTGCGGAAATCCTGTCAGTCTTTTGGCTCACCAGAGGTAGGGATGCGAAAGCAGACTTACGAGGAAAGCTGCAACGGCAGCGCCGGCTCCAACAGCAAGAACAGAAGCCATGGTTGTGGATTTCGGTTTGTGTCGCGAGTGTGGTATGATCGAGGATGGTGGATGACTGCGGAAAAAGCGGGTGGTATCGCGAAGAAGGTCCTGGATGGGAGAGCTTTTTTTCTGGAGTTCGCCGCCCCATGGAGCCAAAGCCGTGATGCGCCGGTGTTGGTCCGTGCTTTCCCGGGAGTTCTTCGGAGCGCGTGTTCTTCCGACACGGTAAGATGGAAAAGCTCGGGCCAGGTCCCTTGGTCCCACCAATCCCCGTTTAGTCCTATTGTACTCGCTGCACTGGCCCGCTGCCAACACTCTGCCCCACCACAATCGATAAGCGGCGCCCCGGAGCGGCAGAAGAAAATTTTCTAAAAAACTTCCAGAGGCAAGGCTTCGATCACCGCCTTCCGCTGAACCCCCCGTGTGTGTGTGGAAACGTCGTCAAGAACAACACCAACAACCAGACCTTGTGACTGCCTCCGTGATACCCGTGAAGGTATTAACGCCGTCGCAATGAGGTACGTCTTTGTCTATTCTTTCTTTCTCCCAGAAGAAAGAGTCTACCGTTGTTTCATACAAGCTTCTAACTCGTGATGCATCTAGAATCGAGACGTGCTATTTCTGCAGTCGCCCTGCTTACCCGAGCAAGGGCATCACCTTTGTCCGCAACGATGCCAAGGTCTTCCGCTTCTGCCGCAGCAAGTGCCACAAGAACGTACGTCCTCAATTCCCTCGCCAACAATGCCGAAAGACAACAGGAGGCTAACCCCCAGATCAACAGTTCAAGATGAAGCGTAACCCCCGCAAGCTCAAGTGGACAAAGGCGTACCGCGCCTCGGCGCACAAGGAGATGACGGTCGACAGCACCCTCCAGTTCGGCGCGCGGCGCAACGTCCCCGTGCGGTACGACCGCGACCTCGTCGCCAAGACGCTCAAGGCCATGGAGCGCGTGTCCGAGATCCGGTCCCGCCGCGAGCGCGTCTTCTACAAGAAGCGCATGCAGGGCAAGCGCGAGCGCGAGATCGCTGCGGCCCGCAAGCTCGTCGCCGAGAACGAGCACCTGCTCCCGCGCCTGCGCGGCTCCGAGAAGAAGAGGCTGGCGGCCGAGGGCGCCACCGAGGACGAGATCGCCGCCCTCGAGGCCGAGGGCCGCGTGCTCTCCAAGGGCAAGGCCGGCAAGGTCTTTGGCAAGGAGAAGATCCGCCAGCGCGTCACGGTCGACGGCGACGTCGTCGAGGAGCGCGAGGGCGTCATGCAGGAGGACGACGGCGAGTGGGACGACGACGATGCCGAGGACGACGACGAGGAGGATGGCGATGTCGAGATGGAAGACTGAAGACAACGATGGTGAAGGAGAGAAGAGAGACGATGCCAGCTTTTATGTCTTACGAACCACCAACCAAGAGTTCAGAGGAGGAAAAAGACGAAAGACAAAACCAGCAAAGAAGAGAGAGACAAAATGCTAATCGATGGGACCTCCCTCTCTCTCGCCTCCTGTCATGGAGAGGGCGAGGAGGGGTGGTTTTTTTGGGCTTTGTTTTATCGGGCGTTCAGGAATACAAAAGGGCGGTTAGCATCGACGGCGTTTGGTGGCTCTGAGAACAAGGAATACTAAAAAAGTTATCCGAGGTCCAGATTCGGATCGGTCCCCCATCGTTCATCTCAGTCCACCGCCTTTGCTTTCCTTCCCTTTTGTGGGGGATGCCCCGTGTCTTCCACGGCCTTTGGGAGTAGCCAGCCAGAGGCTCTCTCTCTCGTGTTCGACGGGTAGGGAGGACCTTTCTTGCTGCCATGATGAGGCAAATCAGTGGAGGACTTTTGTTTGGCGGAAAGATGCATGGCGCACACCTAGCCTTCTGATAGTAAGGAGCAAGCAAGATATAGATATTGCGAAATGCGACCCCACGAGTACCGTCCTTCAAGCATCTCAAAACGAAAGTGAAGCGCCCAAAACGAGCGTCGCGGGTATCAATCCTCTAGCCATTTGTACAACCCAATCAAACCCCTTGAACTCCAAGCATTCCCAGTACCAATCGGCAACAGCAACCCCCTACGTGACAGAAGAACCCTTCCTCCCTGAACCTCAAGCGTCCTCGTCGTCCTTCTTCGGGGTATGCTGGTACGCCCTCGGCGGCATCGGGAGCCCGGCCTCGACGTCCTCAATGATCTTGCGCTCCAGCGCCTGCTTGCGCTTCGCCTCCTCCTCAGCCGTCTCGCCGCCGCCGCCGCCGGGCACAACCGATTCCCCGTAGTTGCCGGCGCCGCCCCGCCCCGAGGCGCCCCTCGCTGACCGCGCGAGGCTGGCGCTCACAGCCGCTCGCGTCTTGCCGGCGACTTCTTCCTGCTGCTTGGCGTTCGGCAGGGAAGACGCATCGTGGAAATTCCCTGCCCCGCCCCGGCCTGCGCGCGCGTAACCGCCAGATGTTGGCGATGTCGGGCTGGTGGATGAGGCGGCAGCGGCGGCTGCGGTTGCGTCGGTCGTCTTCTGGGCTTCAATGTCCTGTCGCCGGGGGTTGCGAATGAGCACGTGTACATCGCTTCAGGTCACGGGGAAAGATATGCGGGGCCTCACACACCTCTGGGTTGGCCTTCTCAATGTCTTCGACGTCCTTTTTCGAGTAAAAGTTCCCGCTTCCTGCAAAGGCCGAGTTTAGGGTCGGCATTCAAAGTGGATGCTTTGGGGTCATCATTACCTCCGCGTCCCGTCTTGCGATATACGTCAGACATGATGGGTATCGTTGAATCAGGGGCCTGTATCGTTCTACTGCCAAAAACGAACCGCAACTAGTATAGAAGAAGAAGAAGAATAAAGGCTCAACTGGCAATGCTAGATGAAAGAACGACAGGCGATATCTTTGACAATAGGTCCACTGGAAGAAAACGTGACGTGCGGTTTCGTTGTGATTGACACTCCCTATCGGCCTAGCCACTTGCATAAAGCAGTGTGGCGCCGCGGGGTTAGTCGGAGCTCTGGGTGGGATGGAGGCCCCGACCGCTCCATCGGTGTCCGTAGCCGGTCTTTGGGGTCTTCATAGGAAGATGAACAAGAGGATAGGTATAACATTCCTTGTCTGTCAGTGAAGACATTCCAATCTTTCCCACTGGTTGCCGTGCGCCGTTTGCTTCGTTCCAGTCTTGAAGAAATGGAATCCTCGTTACTTCTAACTCTAACACATTTCCCCTTCCCCCTTACCTTTTCTTGGGCACCACGCGTGCGGCCCATTGGAAGAGAGCTTAAAGTGGCGCAGCATTCGCGTGCCGATCGCTGCATTCGGACACATCCAACCCTCATCCTGGGACCTTCCATGTGCGACTGGGAAAGTCTCAATTCTACTCGGGTTCGGGCATATTCAACGAGATCGACAGGCACGCCGACTAGCCTGCATTGCTTTCAGCGTCCTTCGACCGAAGAAACGTCTAATCCAACGTTTCAAAGCCGATCTTGCTCGCCAAACTCGAGTTGAGTGCGACGGAGAAACCTCTGAGTGCTGGCCATTCCCTTCTCGAGGGGCTGCTGCTGGGAAACCTTCGCGCCGCAGTCGCGCGATAGGCTCTGATAGTCCAAGGGTCCAACCCTCTCCTCTCCCTCTTCTTTGTGAAGGGGGAGCGGAACGCACGGGAGCGGCAGTACCACTAACTTTCGCTCCATTCCCCAATGAACCCTATCGCGCAATCCGGTCTTGCCGTATGAGGAGAGACGACATCGGAATCAAGGAAATAGCACCACTCCACGTGGAAGGCCATTGCTGACGCAGGTACGCAGCAAAAGCTCAAACAAAAAGTTGGCGTAGGCAGCCCTTTGCGCGATTTGGTTGGGGATGTCGTGGGCGTCACCACCTGGGCTTTCCCAATGATGGCGAGCACAGTCTGGAGGGGTACTTCAGAGTACGAAGGTGTACCTGGCATGCCTCCACTCGCCGCGACAGGGCTCCTGATAGCGACACGCATCCGATGGAGACCCGGAGGGGTGATGTGCAGCTGCGGCAAGAGGGGCTGTCCTGGCGCGCTGATCGCCCTAGCCCGTTTGTGAACATGACACCCACTGCGGTCTCCGCCGCCAAACTGCGCCAACCTGTCCTCGACCTCGACAGCTCGGCGCGGGGGATGACAACGTAGCGATAATATGGTCGGGCCAGTCGGTTCCTAATCTGATGTGATATTTCCCAGACATCCGTATCTCGGTGGAAAGATAGGGAAACAGGAAATCCCATACTCGGGTAAGACGAGGCGCAGCCGACTTTGTCTTTCTTCTGCTCGGCCCCATGACGGCGACAACAGGCATGTTCCCTCTCCGAGTCTCGTTTCTTCCAAGGCGCGAGGACCGCCGCGAAGCTGTCACTTCACCTGGTAAACCTTATCTCCCTTGCGTGCAGGGGGTTGATTGAGCCTTTTCAAAGTGTGGCGGCACAACGAAGTTATGCAGTTATGCTGCTGGCGACGATCGGCGGCGATTGCTGCCTTTGTGAGAGAGCTTTATGCGTGGAGAATCCAGCTTCAGGATGGCATTGCACTGTCCGCGTAGTGAGGGGTGCAGCTGCACCTCGGCAGGGTAAGGCCCTGGTACTCGTGTCTCAACTGCCCTACAGAACCACATCGCTGATGTGCTGAAGGCAATCGACGATTTGCTCGGTGGCCCTCTCTCCATCCGCGCGGTAGCCAGGACAGCCCTGCTATGTCGAATTCACGATGGAGGATAGAGTTGGCGATCGACGACGTGTTGACACTTTACATGTGGAGTGGGCACCGTTGTAAACTTGGGGCGATGCCCTTAGCGCGGTTTGGTTCTGCGCAAACCAACTTTTGGGTGAGGATGGAAGAAAGAAAGAAAGACAGAGAAGGAAAAAAAAAAAGAATGGAGTGGCCGGAGTTTGCGCCGATGACTGCAACGCGCCATCATCTGTCGAAGTGGAATCTATTAGGGGAATGCTTGACAATGTCTGACCGACTTGTTGATATCGATGTTGATTATGGGTATTGGATGACAAGCTTGTGACGATACAGTTCTTGCGTGGATCAGACGTTGATGAGGCCAACGAGGCCGAGTTTTCAAATGTGACTTTGCACAGCTGTCCGTCATGTACCAACCGACAAACAAGCATACGCAAGTAGCTTACGCAAAAGGCGAAGCCTTTGACGGCCTTGGTCTCTAGAATCCTTCAGTTGGCCATGGCAATCTGTTGGCGACTTGTCTCTTTGCGGTCCATCCCAACTCTAGAAGCACACAACACTTGACTTTTTTATTTTTTTTAAAGAAGGCAACTCACTATTCCGGAGAGCCCCCCAAACCGTCAACTGGTGCGTCATGCTACGCCATCTTCGGTCATCAGGTAAAGCGTTCTGAAGCGGACATACGTTGCTCACATCCTCACCGTTAGTAGAAGTGTGAGTGTCTCGTAGCCGTCAAGCTATCCAGGACGCTACGCGAGTTGGTTGCCGATTCGACTTGTTGTCATTGTTGTCAATCTCTCTATAGTCTGTTTGACCTGGCGTAAAACGGGGGAGGGGTTTGAGGTTGCCAAAGAAACTGCGTGTGAAGCAGGTCAAGTAGGAGGCTGGCACCAAGATGCATGGGTCATTGGCTTTGCGGTAGCCTTCTCTGTACCTCGTTGAGTTGCTGGCATAAAAACAGGCTTCGTGCATCTTCGTCGAGACACGGGCTCGTCGCGTTGGAAATCGCCGAAGACGAACAGTTCACGGCATATACCGAGACTGGTCTTGCATGCATCCAAAGCGCCAGTTTGGGCAACTGAAAATGCGATCTTCGAGGCCTGGACTTGGGAGAACCACGCCCAGTGACGCACTAGTTGCATGCTGGACGTAATATGAAGGCAAGGTCTTCGAGATTCGGGCAGAGCATGCCTCGTGTCGTCCTCGGATGTAGTATGGCTTGTCCATCTCCGGACACTGGCGGGCTTGTCCGTATTGGAAGGACTCCTGCGCGGACGATCTTTGGATTGCTCTCTGCCCACTGCCTAGACATTCCACCACACAGTGATGCAATGGGTATCCAAGGAAATAGCGTCGAGTGGCAAAAGTCACCCATTCTGGCCGGCGACGCAGGATGGGCAACGGACGGCAACAATGACGGGAGAAGCGGCGTCCCGCCAAAGGCACGACAATCTACCCGAGTTACCCAGAGCAGAAGGCCGCATGGCGCCCGAGAGAGGAGAGGAGGGAGCAGCTGACTGTCCCGAATGGCACTGGCGGCGCTCCTAGCACGGAGTGAGGGAGACAGGGGATGAGACGGCCCTCTGAGTAGACTGTTTGGCCAGCACCCCGGTGAAGAGCTCGGCTCTATGGAGTTCCAGCGGATTCCCGGTCAGCACAAGGTCTGAGGAGCGAAATCCTTAGTAAGGCATAGGGATCGCCAGAGGGGACGGCTGGACTCCCAACTTTCTGTATGTAGGTATTGAAGAGACGCGCCAGCCAGCACACAAGAGCGTGGGCCGCGCAGAACTTTGGTCGGATTGGCATTGCTCCAACGCCGTCCCAGCCCATCTTCAGGCAGAGCGTCCCAGCGAACAAGTCCTGTGATTAGCGGTCACCGGGAGGGGCCTGCATCTGGTAAGAGGGTGGTGGTGCAAGGTGGCGGTGGTGGTGAGCTGTGGGTGTGGGAGCCCCCCAGCGGATAGTGGTGAGGTCCGGTTCTGGAGCGGGCGATTGGTAGGTCGTTTCGCTGTGGGGTGCTGGATTAGAGCGCAATATGGGAAGAAAGACAAAAAGAGGGGGGGCCGAGACGACAAGGGAATGGCGGACGAGGAGGGGGGCGTGGCGGTATCATCATCTTGCGTCGAGTGGTAGTGGTGGTGGTTGTGGTGGTGGTGGTGGCTCTCCATCGTCGCAATCGTCAGGTGTTGGTGCACTCTCCAAGTGGACACGAAAGCTGAACAACATGCTCCTAAACTGTGTACCGTATCTATGGGGGTTTTGTCCGATGTTAGCCCAGTCTATGTTCCCCTTGCTTTGGCCGTGGTCTTGGACCAAATATGGAACTGCAAAGCTGTTGCCCCTGGCTTGAGCAAGAATTACATAGAATCGGCTTGTCCGCGCTCGGAGGAAGCTACGTCACTGGATGCGGTACGGCATGGGACTGGAACTTCCCCAGGAACGGGCATAGCTACCTGCGTATGATACTGTCTCCACTGTGCACCCATGGCAGCACGGCTCACCCAAGTTGCACAGTCTAAAAAGAACGACTCACTGTGCATTCATGTTCAGGTGTGTCCTTATCAGAACCGACTCAAATGGGCGAGGGCGGGCTCTTACCTAAGCCAGGTGCTCTACAGTACACTGTGCACCTGCCTCCCCTCTGGAGCACAATTCTTGAGAGCCAGTACAGATACAGAGCACATCGTACCTTATGTACTTCACTTCACACCAGCCTGGCACCCAATGACTTGTCAGCCCAACGACGCCGTCGAAGAACTGTTCCTAGCTTGACTCCCGTGTGATCAACGATCAACAGAACCGTCGGGGAATTTTTATTTTCTTTATCATTTCTTTTTTTTTATTCTCTGCGTCCTGTCATCGATATGCCGACACCTCAAGGCTCCTTGCGCAGCCATAAGAAAACGTCGGGGCGGCCATCCAAGAGGAACCCGAAACGACGCGACGTCCAAAAAACACGAGGGTTTTCGACTCACGCGGACCATAATGTCAAGGCAACACAAGCCTGACGATTGAAGATGCCCCAGGAGACATCCACCATGTTCCAATAAGACATCTCGCCAGCGCCTTTTTACGCAATGCTTCCTTTTAGCACATTTTCCGCCTAGGTTGCCCCTCACGGCCTTCCTCTCTTCTCCTCATTCGACCAAAAGCACGCTTCAGCACCGCACAGCGCATTTTGCGCAACTCGCTACCATGGAGCCCGCACAACAAACACACAACACACAACATTGGCATTGGCCTAGTACGAATGGTGTTGCGAAGCTACTGCGTCCCTTCCCGCGTCTGGATTCCCTTTACTGATCCGACGGAAACCATTGTCCCCAGTTAATTGAGAAACGGAGGTGACCAATGCTCCCCGGGCCAAATACGATGTACTCCAATGCCCCAGCCCGATGCTCGCAGCTCCAGGGCCTGCAGCAATGGCCTGGCCGGCCTGGATGGAGCTGTCACGCCAGGGGAGCAGAGCTGTCGCGGGGTGCGACGCAACTCTGGGCCTGGCAGCTTGCCGAAACATGCCACTCGCAGTCGACGAACCTCTCGCTTCAACCAGGTCACAACATTCTTGCAAGATAATTGGAGACTATTGTCTCATCCGTTTCCATTTCGTCACCTCGCGAACGCACACCGAGAGATGACAGAGGAAGAAGAAAAGGAAGAGGCGGTCACGAGGCTAACAAGATCCCGACAATTCTTCAGACGACCCAGAGAAAAGGCACCCGAGCCAAATGAAGCCACCCTCGTCCGGCGAGGGACCAAGGCACGAGTCCAACTGTTGGTGTGCGGGCGAGGCGTTGTACCAACAAAGACGGCCTTTCTTTGATCACTTTCTGGTATAGGCTTCGAGGACTGCATAACCCTCGAGGCAAATATGCTGTTGTGTTGTGCAACTGCATCGCGAAACCTGACACTTGCGCCTTAATATTCGGATGCAAAATGCCAGAAGCTGCCGAAACAACCATCCGAGCAAGGAGACATCCAGTGTCTGCGAGCACTCGAGGATAAAAAAGTGCCGGGCACAAAGTTGCTATTTACAATGTGCAAGCAACCCAGGCACGCTATCGCTCCTGGTCACTAATGGGTCTGGGCTTGTAGGATGAGGATTAATGGGATGCTGGGATTCATCCACGAGATCCATCCACCCCTCCCCCAGTGACCTTTCCCCGCCGCACCGGCGCCTTACGGACACGTCCATCGCTTGGGAAGCCGACCATCGCTCGCTCATTGCCAAAGGACGCGGCCACGGGCCATGCTCCATGCTCCTTGTTCCTGGCGCCCGTCCACTGCGTTCGCTGCGTCCACGGCCATGTCCACTTTCAACCACCCACCACCTGAGAGGTACATCGCTGCGTACCTTGGGTTCAGTCGTGCCTTGTGCACACTGTGGGACACGGAGAGGGGAAGCCAGAGTGCAAGTGAGGGATGAAGAGAGAGAGAGAAGGAGAGAAGCCCAGTCCCCGTGGTCGTCCATGTACGGAGTACCCAGGCGCGCACCTCACCCTCACTTCTAATTGCAAGGCTCACGCCCCCCTTTCCCCAGCCCACCCCAGCCCCATCTCCCTCTTCCGCTCCTTTTCTCTTCCCATCGCCGCTCGCTCTTAGGTGAGTGGAGGTGGGAGGGAGTGAGGAGGGCGTGTGGTCCTGCTGCGGTACGGTCTTCTGCCCCTCCCCTCTTCCTGGCACCTTGCACCTTCATCCTAGCGACCTGATGGTGGGAAGCGGCCAATGGGGACTGATGCTCGTCCCCGACCAGCGCTTCCCTTTCGTTCTGGCTACTTGTTGGAAAGGGCCGTCTGGTCTGTGTCGCCCATCGTTGGACTTTTCGGGTTCCCTTCCAAACGTCCTCTGTCTCGAGCCCACAACTTTTCCCTCTCACTTAGCTACATCCTCGATACAAGGCACAGCGAGAAGAGAAACAGAAAAAAAAAGTTGAAGTTGGCCTGGACCTCGACAGCCCTGTTGATCACCAGCGACTAACCCCAAGGCACCCTAACCGTTCAATACCACCACCACCACCCTCACCACATGCTGTCGGCTGGCCCAGCTCGGAGCTACTAGGTACACCCGCCCACAGACACACCCCTGCTGAATTGCTTGCTCCTCCCCAAAATAATATTATTTCTCGCCCGGAGGCTTGTCTTTGCGACTCACTCATCACCTGCCTATCTGTCTACCACCGTCGAACAACACCACACAACACGACCGCCTCTACGAACAAATACGCTCTCACCATCATCTTGCGAGGGAAAAAGCGTTCGACTTTCGTTGTCGAACCTGATCAGTATCGGTAGTTGGCAATGGCCTCTTCAAAAGTATGCCCGGAACGGGGATTCCAACCCATGCCCTGCACTGATTAGCCCGCTCTCACCACGCACCTTCATCCATCCCAGTCTTGCTGATCACTTTGTCCTTGTCCAGGAAATGCAGCAGACCACGAGGCCATTGACCCAACACCGTCCATCTCTCTCGACCGTCTCCTCCTCCGGACTCACGACACGACAATCCCACTCACGTACCAACTCTCACTCCATTCTCGGCGGCGCTCTGAATGCCAACCACCGCGTCACCCGCCGCAAGTCCATGACAAACACCGCTGCGAACGCGGCGGCCATGGCAGCAGCAATCAAGGAAATCGGCGGTGACAAAGTCACGCCCATTGCCGTTAGCTCTCGCCGTAACACGGCGTCAAAGAGCGCTGCCGCCCGCGTTGCAATCGTCGGAAGCCTACCTTCCCCTCCTGCGAGTCTGCCAACACAGAAGTTCCACTTGGACGGGAAGACGGACATCCATGAGAGCGCCATTGAGGACGACCCGAACAACGGGTCGGCAGACGAAGGCGAGAACAATGATCAGAAGGCTCGCATCCGTCGCGCCAGCGACGGGCAGCCCCTCATCAAGGAGGGCAGCCGAAAGTTCAACCGCGTTGAACTCAAGTGCGAGACGTGTGGAAAGGGATACAAGCACAGCAGTTGCCTGACCAAGCATTTGTTCGTCCCCCTTCTCATTTCCAAACCCACATCCCCAATGTTCCCCGGTATAAGCTCTCGAGATCAGATTGCTGGATTCCTCTTGATCGATGTGTAGTCGGACAGTTCGTTGACTCATTTTGATCAGGTGGGAACACACTCCCGAGTGGTCCTTAACATCCAAGCTGCTTATTTCCAAGCACCAACAAGTCCAGCTTCTCGAAGCTGCTTCGGTCTTGTTGACCATGAACCATGGCAAGGAGGACGCCGATGCGGCCACTCCTCCGGATTCTGCCAAGGACTTTCCCAGTGATCAAGAAGAGTCTGCCTCCCCTGCTGCCTCTGGATATTCGGACGAGCGACACAGCTCTGCCGACACCACCCCGCCGCCCCAATTGGAAGGATTCGCGTCGTCGGATCGTGCGTTCTCGAAGCGGTTCGGATCTGGAAGCGGATTCGGTCGGTCATATCAATCGGCATCGTCCACCAATCCCCTTGTGACAGGCAGCATGCCGCACGGTACGGGATTTCCATCACACTTTCGTCAAACCAGCCAAGACCAGCGGCCACCATCATCTGGAAGAAACGCCACGGGGCAAGAAGATCGCGACCTGGCCGCCGCGGTTGAGCTTCTCAGCTGCAGCTTCAACAGCAACAGTGGTCGGGCCGTACAACTTCCAGCCGACGCCCCTCCCGTGCCTCCGCTACCTGCGCAGTATCTCGATCAAGCCGCATCCTTCTCGAGTGCAGGGTTCAGCGCCGGGTTTAGCGCCGGATTCCTCAACAGCTTCCCCAGCAGACAGCCAGAGAGCTTCACACGGGGCGAGGTTCGCAACGCTGACGTCAAAATGGAAGACAGCGATAGCGTGATGGACGACGACGACTTTGACCGTCGGTCTCGGTCTCGGAGCGACGAGGATGACGACGGCGTCTTCGGACGGATGGAAGAGTAGAAAGCTCCGGTTCGACCATTGATGCCGACGATATCTGAGGAGATGAGTACATGACCGATGAAGGGAAGAGAAGGGTGGTTTTGTGTTTCTTTTGTACCACCATATACTAAACCCTGTAAACGAGGTGGTTCTGGCTCCGCCGCCGATCTCTCAGCACCAAGGAGTGGAGGGCCCGATCTTGCATCATGGCCCGGCCAAACAAGGCAGGTCGATGGGATGGATCGAGATTGCATCTCCACGAGGTTAAAGTGAGAGACGGAGAGGGCGTCGAGCGAACGCCCAAAGCTATTACACTGATGGATCTTACGAGACAAACGAGTGCGATGCCTCAAGAATGGCCGCAACGCTCTTTTGTTCGGTTTGAAGCCAGCATAACGAATATAAGAAGAAAAAAATGATCAAAATATTTTGGCATTTGTCGACTGTGACCTGTATGGGCCCTTGAGTGATGGAGAGAACTATTGGTGATGATGGGTATATATGGGATGTGTGGCTCTTGTTTACCAGCGGCGACTGCTAGAGTGACAAGACGGGCTGGCTGGTCTGGTTGGACGTCAACCAAGCCAGCAGCAACCTTAACCAGGCACACCCGGAGCGTTACTCCCGAAGGCGAAGATTTGCATGTGAGCTCATCAAGTTTTGAAGATCACACAGACACCAGGCAAACGAAAGGAGGTTTGGTTGGAGCAAGAGCAGTCTTCGAGAAGCGCAAACCGAGGGTGTCAAATCTCGCCCCCAGATCTCGAGGGAATCGGGGGGGCTTCTGGGTTTTTTATGCCTCTGAAGCGGAAGAGGGTGATGGAGAAATTTTCCCGGAAGAGAGGGAAGATCATAAAGAAGAAAAAGTCTGCAAAATACGGATCGAATAAACGGAGCAAGGAAAACTCGATCCTTGCGTGCACCCGCTCCCAGTGGAGCTGTTTTCCCCTTCAGTGGGCGGGACGCTGAACCACGGCGGTCGTTCGGTGGTCGGCGGGTGTGGGGGGGCAGGACGGGAGACCCTTTGAGCTAGTCTTTTGGTTCGTTTGGTGCGGACGGGGCCAACCAGCTTACCTCACCACCTTCCTCTAGCTGCTGTTTCCCCAGCGACGTCACCTTTATCCGCCGGGAGAGCTTCTTTCTCCACTCGACAACATCATAGGCCACAGCAGCGTCCGGAGGTGGGAAACGCAAAGGTCTCACTTCTCTTCTTTCCCTCTTTGCCTGGTTGATCTCATCCTGTCGCAAATCGCAAACGGCAGCCGCGGCTCGTGTCTCCCTCCCACCTCGCTACCTTGACACTGTTCCCTGTACCCCTCTTCAGCTGGCGCATCGCTACCTCTCGGCTGTACTCCCTCTTTTTTTTTTTCTTTTTCCCATCACGAGCAACACGACACGTTGCTTCATCAATTCATCCCCAAACACACGCGCGCGAAAAACCAAGATGCCGACCCTACGACGCAGAGGCGAGGCCGCGCGGGCCGTCGAGGCGCCCGACGTCGACGAGACCACGACGCGCGCGATCGAGCCCATCGCGAGCCACCTCGAGTCCCTCGAGACGGCCCCCGACGGTACGGTCGAGGCCTTGGGCGTCGTCAACGACGCGACGGAGGTGGCAGCGGCTAAGGAGTCGGAGGCCACGCAGATCAGCGAGAGGGATCGCGACCACCAGCACCCGCGGCGGCAGCGCTCGCATCTGCCAGCCGCGTTACAGTTCCCGCTCGTCACGGTATTGAGCTTCAGTATTTCGAGTCTTTGCTACAGCTTCCTCAGCGAGTGGAGCCGCGGAGAGCTGGCGGGGATCTCCAAGAGCTTGGATACCTGGGGCGAGGTCGCGACTTTGGCCGGATGGCGCATGTGAGTTGTTCTTTGTATCCCCGACAACTGACCCTACAGAGGTCGTACGGGGCAGTACGAAGAAGAAGCGTGGTTTTGCTGACGGTTCCGGTCTCGGATAGATTCGAGCTTGCGTTGGGCTGGTTCGGCAACTTTGATAGCTACGACCTCGCTGCGCTTAACCTGCTTGCGCATGGCCCTCCGGTATGTCCTGCACTGAGGCATGATCATGATGGCGTCCCTAATCCAAGTGACTTTGGTCCTGCTGACACGAGGCCTGCTTCTAGGTCTACCTCATCGCCACCTTTTACAACATCAGCCCCGCGACCGCCATCTCAGCCCTGGGTATTGAGATGCTGTCAACCTTTGTACCTTTCCAGCTTCTGAGACCCTTGTCGGGCGCGCACGCCGGTGCTAAGAACGTCGCCAACCGCGAGATTATTACCGACATCCCGATTCAAATCTACACCACTATTCTGGCGGCGGCCATCTACAGCCTCACTCTCTTCACTGCCTACAAGACCTACCTACCTACGACCCTCGTACTCTACTTTAAGGGTCTGCCCAGTCTCGCACCGGCCTACACCACCAACTTCCTGGCCACGCTGCCTGTGACGATTGCTTTTGGCATCGCCGCAAGATCCTTCATCTTCACGCCCTTCGTCGCGACCGGCGAGACTGCCGAGGACGACAAGCTCGCCGAGTTCGATCCCGCGACGGCTACTCTGGGCGAGACTCTGGCGTGGAATATCTGGGGCTACACGACGCGGGAAAAAGTTGTCATTCTGCGAACGGCCGTGGCCATGCTTGTCACTGGCGTCAACACCTACCTCCAGACCTTCATGACCGTCAACGGCGTCGAATCATATGGCGCGTCTCTGTATGCCGGCGCCTGGGTTGGCGCCGCATTCTTGACAGGCGTCGGTCTTGGATTCGTTGGTGGCGGAGATGCATGAGAAAGGGATTTGCCTTTCTTTGCGTTGCAAACAGGAAAATACCTCCTCAGCGAGGCAGATTCCAGAGTGCTTACGGTACAAAGAGAGAGGAGTTTGAGGGGGCATCTCGGCAGACACGGGCGGTACCATTGTGGGATTCTCAAAGTCTCATTAGAGGGGAGACTCTTTGCTTGAGTCGAGGAAGGTGAATATGCACAAGGTTGTTACAGCCGCCTCATCCAGTTGTCAAGCTGATGTATACCATTTTTCTTGTCTATTTTCTATGTTTCGAGTCATGTAGACTCATGTCTCTTTGAATCTTTGGTGTGTGCTTCGGGAACCCGTGTATAAGGAGTCCACCCACCGATGGAATTCACCGGAGTATGGTTAAGCTATTAACATTTGTCGATCCCTCCAGTCGAATACGTGACGTGATGGCTCATGAGCTAGTGGGTAGGTATGTAAGAAACCCGCCCTCCCAAGTCAGCCTCGCCTGGTCAATAAAACGCAGGAACTAGTCCCAATCCATCAGCCGGGTGCAGGACGCTAGCGAAAAGATTGCTTGCCTGAGGGTCTTGGGCATTGGGTGAGTGGTCGGGTTAGCCGACGTACATAGTAGTAGGGCTGAAAAGGTGGGGGGCCCCGACAGAAGCAAGATTGTAAATGTCGTTCAAGAGTGGCCCTTTCCGGAATGCGCGGCTGACGTTTCGCGCGGGTATTGACAATCCATGATGGGAATATTTCCAACCTTTTCTCTGGTGAGGCGAACGGGTCTGGGTTTTTATCGGGCACCGGCTGCTTGTCAAGCTGAAAGGCAAGAGCGCGGTTCACCTGAAGATGTTCGCTTGGACGGACCGGGGGGTGGTTGAAAGATAGTTCGGGTGCCGGGGGGAGGGGGACATTTCGCCTGCGGGCTCCCTCCCCCATGACCTCCGAACGCTTCCCGATCGGGGTGATTTGCGCAGGGCTAATGACATACCGAGAGCCAGGTTCCCCGAGCCTTGCTCTCGATTCTCGTCATTTGCAATGGTTTTTGCAAGGCTTTCTTTCCTTTTTGTTCCGTGGAGGGGGAGGATGAGGTAGGGAACGACTTGCAACTGAGACAATGAGCATGAACTATCTCCCTCCTCCCCCGAGCCTTGTCCTCCCGCACACCAACACCAGCCAGATCGACGTCTGCCGCAGTGCCGCGCATGGCGGGTGCGCGCCCGACGCGGGGCGGCTAGCTGGGACTCGGTGACATCGCAGCTGGGGCTGGGCGTGACTGCTGTCTCTAAAGAGCGAGAGGTGTGCCGTCCCGGGGGGATGTGCCGCCGCTGCGTCTGCTGGGATGACATGACGATCCGCAGATCAGGTCTCGAGTCTTCTCTCTCTGGCCGTCGGGTTCCCTTGCCGCGGCGAGATGTGCGAGAGAGCAGGATGCAGGGGTTTCAGAGGCACATGGACAGCTCGTATTGGGCGGTGCGGTCACGACGAGCGTGCAATGTGCAAAAGTGGTCATCGTGCTCAGCTCTCTGGTTTTTTCCCGATGTAACTGAACGGCTGAGGCGTTTTGTCCAACGGTGGGGATGTTGTCGAGCATTTGTCAGTTTAGGAGTGCCGGTCGGTCTTTTCGGAGGAGAGCGTTGTCCCAGTTCATATATGGGTCAAGGACCACTGGCCTTCAACCAGACGGCAGTTGCTCTGTAAGAGATTGTAACATAGTCTAGCTCATAGAAGCACTTGTTAGTGGAGACTGGCCGAGCTCACTACCGAATCATGTCTCCTAGATCAAAGCAGCCATCAAGAAAAGGCAGAGAGAGCCCCGGGCAATACGAAACCTACGACGAGCGGCACGGCGTCTCTCCCGCAGGAACAACAGAAAGCTACTACGCCTCGTCGTCAACTACTGCTGCGGCCGGTCCCAGCCCGGCAACGGATTATGAGGAGACCCTTAACACCACAACTACAACAACAACAGCGATGACCAAGTCCAAGTCAATACGGAGTGACGGGGAGATCACATTGCAAGGTCCGCTAAAGATCGCTGGATCCGTGGGGGCCGGTGGAAATGTCACGTTTAATGGTGATTTCGACGTGAGGGACAAGGTTGAGGCGTACGGGGCCGTCGAGGTTAATGGGAACCTGGTGTGCGAGTGAGTGGCTTCTTTCTCTTTCCGTGTTAGTTGTCGTCCTCCTGTGATTTCAAAGAGCGACGAAGGCTTATGAGGTATGTGAGCAGTGGGAGGATGAAGGCGTATGGGAACATTCAGGTCGTTGGGTGCATGTGTGTTGGGTAAGTATTTATTGAAGCAACTTGTCGCCTACAGAACCTTGCTGACATGTCACGTTTTATGATGATAGAGATAAAGTCAAAGGCTTCGGCAAGTTGAGAGTCACCGGGACGTGTGAGGCCAAGGATCTGGAGATTTATGGTAACACGACGATTAACGGGTTTCTGTAAGTTGGTTGGGTGGGCACACTTCGAAACGTTTTGTTGCTGACGGACGACGGCAGAAAATGTAGGAAGATGACTCTGTACGGGTCGCTGACGATCGTGGGACCGAACTCGGGATACCACGCCGAAGAAGAGGAGAAGATTTGGGGTGCGATCATCAGCCGTGAGGAAGACGTCGGCTGGTGACCTACCCGATGCCTGGTTAGTGGCGAGGCCACTTACAAGGGGAAGAGGGACTGCGCCTAATTGATTGGAAGGCTTCAAATAGGATATTGGGACATAATAAAGATGGATGTTGATGAGGTGGCTAAGGGACAAGGATGATGTGTAGGACGCGGCACCAGGCGAATGGGTTCTCCAATGGGATAGCGTTCGGCGTTGAGGATATCATGACGGCAAACGAGCCTATTAAATGGATGTGGAGCTGCATAGTCATCGTGATCAGGGATTCCGTGTTGCAGATAATCCAGCTACAAGTAGCAGTATTTAACCTTTTTATTACAGAACAAGACGGCAGAGCCGTTTGACTTGCTGTACCGAGTATGCAAACCTCGTTGTTGATGACTTGACTGAGTTCGAAGAATCCCACCCCCAATATAATGGGACGCAGCGGGTCTGACCTGGGGAAACCCAGTATCCCAAAGTGGAAGGTCACTTACGGAGTCTCAATGTTCCGGCACAGAGTATGCACAAGCCACATCAATCTGGCCCGTCAGTGGTTGGCAGGAGCCCCGCCACCTCGCAGCTGCCCCTAGCGCCAGGGAGCTCCTGGAGCTAAATCGAACACCACGTCAGGTCGCGACCTCCTTCGCAAACGCGACAATTGGCTCCATCCCAGGGGATGCGCAACCTTATTTCGCAGTACACTCAGCAACCTACTCCAACGACAACAACGTACCAAATGCATTCATAGTAAACTCGACGCCGATATCTTGGCCGACGAACCTTTTTTCTTCATCAAAAAAGATGGCCTCCACCGACGAGCACGCAGACGCCATGGACGTCGAGGTGTCGCCCAAAAACAAGACGTCGGTCGAACACAACATCCATCAGTCGCTCGGCGCTATCAGCAACTCCGTCGAATCGCTCGAGATGCGCGCCGACCCAGACGCCCAGGCAACAGTCACCGACTTTCTCGATTTTACCGAATACCTCCCTTCCGATATGATGCGATCGTTGACCCTGATCGGCAAGCTCGACCAGACATACGGAGATGCATCCCTCAACGTGCACAACCTCACCTCAACCTGGGGCAAGCTCCCCAGCATCCCCGCCGAAGAGCGCCCGTCTCCTGTACAGTTGCGCGCCGAAATCTCGGATAGTCTCAACCATGCGGTCAGTTCGCGCGTCTTCGCGCACGCCGAGGCGGTCCGCATGTCCGAGAACGTGAGCCGTCACTATAATCGCGCAAAGACGATACTGGCAAAGTTAAAGGATATGCTGGAAAACTACCCGACTGAGGAACAGAAGAGCCCGGTGGCCACTTCCAAGTCCCCTCAACTTGTTAGGGCGCCGAGAATAATGCGCAACGGGGATGGCGAAAAGGTGCGACGACCACGGATACCCAGGATTACTGTTCCCGGCGAGGTGCTACCACCCTACGACCAGTTTGTGGCGTACTCAGACGACAGCGACGAAAGCTCTGAAGAAGACGACGACGAATCTCTTGGGCGCACGCCAGCTCGGTCAACGCCCGCACCCCGGATCAGGGTCCTCAAGACCCCCAAAGCCAGGCCACCAAAGACTCCAAAAGCTGCATCATCGCGCCCCCCTAAATCGGCCGCAACCCCCGCTACAGCCGCCACTCCTGCTGTTGTGCTGCAGCCTCCGCCAGAAAATGCCGTCATAGGAAGTGTGGATGCTCCCTGGCTTCAGCTGACGCCATGGGAGTTGGCAAGATTAAGGAAGCGTATGAAGAAAAACGCAACATGGAATCCTAGTGACACCATGATTTTGCGAGAACTGAAGACGCTCGGTCGTGGAATCGACGCTTACAAGGAGGCAAAAAAGAAGGCCGAGGACGAGGGTAGGGTGTTTGACCAAGTGCCTCCCGCTCTAGCCCCCGATGCCGAGACCGGCAACAAACAGATTCCGGAGGGCGCAATCAGCGCTGCCGCGCTTGCTTCGGACGACATCCAGCTGAGCAACAGGGGCATGAAGCTGAATGAGGCGAAGAAGCTCAAGCGAGAGTCGTTAGCCAAGCAAGCTGCTGAAGAGGCAGAGGAATCAGCTCGACAGTTTAGGGAGGCTGCAAGGCTTTTGATGTCTCATGAAGCGCCGCAGTCAGGGTCAGGTTCGAACAACGGTGCAGACCAGCCGAAATCCGCAAACAAGGCGACCCCCAACGCCAAAGCCAAGCCGAAGCCGAACGGCACCAAGCGCAAGAGAGACTCTGTTCCGGAGGCTGAGGCTGAAAAGCCCGAGCCAGTCGAGACACCGGCCCCCCGTCCTGCGCCGAAGCGGACCAAGACGGAGACACCGGTGCCGCTGCCTCATCTCAGAGCTAGTCTTGCCTCGCAGCCCCTGGCCGAGACCCCCATACCGCCTCCTGTTCTTACCCCGGGTGGCACTGCAGTTACTCCTAAGATGACAACTCCCGTGCCAATCCCGATCCCTGGTCAGGACGCTGCAGCCACGGCGACTACGAAGCCGGCAAACACCTCTGCGCCGGCGTCGTCGCCAACCGGTTCAACCGGGCAGCCTCCATCCGTTGCGAGCACTGGACCGGCGAATATCGTGACGAAACCGCCTGCGGAGACGCCCATACCTCCGCCGCTTTTGTCACCCAAGAAGTCAACCACCCCGATTCTTCCTCCAGTGCGCGATACTGCGCCCAGAAGGGAAACCAGGGGCGACATGGCAAAGAAAGGCCAACAGCAAGTGGAAAACCCCGCCTCGCTGCCACCGCAGCAGGCTCCGCAAACGCAGCGTTCGTCCTCTGCGGCCCCTTCCATCAAACAGTCAAGCTCCCGTGCGGCGACGCCGGGCACAACACCCGTCCCGGAAGGCCAGCGACGTCCCGGATCCAGAGGGAAAGCTACGAGTCAAGAGCCGCAGCCCTCGCTGGCCACTGACCGACCGCGTCGCGCTAGTACCGCGAGGAACACTCCAGCGCCAGAGCAGAGACAACCGAGCAAGAGGACTAGAAAGCCTGTGCCAGGTATTGTCAGCAAGACGAACGCTGGAGGCAGCAGTGCCGTGGGCAAGCGCAAGGCCGCGCCCAAAAAGAAGCGCGCCCAAAAAAAGGAGAAGGGTCAGCCAATCGAGATTGAGCTGGAGGAGGACGACGAGGGCAACCCGATCGATCCCAATGAGCCGCGGTACTGCGACTGCAACAGGGTCAGCTTTGGCGAGATGATTGCATGCGACAATGATGTAAGTACTCTTTGTCCAGCTTGAGTGCCTGGTGTTTCGTTTCTTTTCGTATGCTGACACGTCTAAACAAGAACTGCGATAAGGAGTGGTTCCATCTAGAGTGCGTCGGTATGACGCACATCCCCGCGCGTACGACTAAGTGGTATTGCCCTGACTGTCGCGTACGTTTAAATATCGGGGAGAAGGGCGAGATAAACGCTAGGGGAGTCAAGGCTTGAAGTAGGGCCGAGATACGGGATACGATATTTACAAGGAGTCGCATGGCGTTCAGGAGGACAAATGCTAGGAATGGCATGGCTCCCAGAGAGGCCCACGTCTCCAGAGCCCATCATGTTATGAAGCTAGTACTGTACAAAATAGACCTGTATCAATAGGGCAGCCCGTGTTCATATTTTTAGTGCAGCCATTGTGGCTCTTATAACAAGTGTTCGTACGCGATGGTCAACCTTTCAGTAACGTACCTCCCCGCTGGGATATCTGGCGTCGGTATGCTGAAATTTGGTGAAGATGCCTGCCTCATGGTCTGTGCGCCCGGATGCGCCTTCCCAGCGATGGTAACGTATGAGCGCAACCCCTCCTTCCTACCCCCCTATCTTCTTCTCTGATAATTGCGTTTTTGAACAGATTGTCATCTTGTTCTATCTCGTATTTCTCACGAAGATAGGTTCCAAGACGTCCCTGGCCGTTCCGTCTGCACTGGTGCCCACGTGTCTCTGTTCACTTATACGCGCCTTGCCCCCGCAGCGATATACTCCTTTTCTTTCCGTGTAGGCGCTTTCCACTTGCTGCCTTTTCGCGTATTGTTCGGATATCATGGGCATCGAACAGTGAGCTCAATTCTATCCACATCAAGTCATTGTTGGCTCTCTGTGGTCCCTTCCACTGACCTCTCCTTCAGTTTTTGGAACGTTGTCAACGAAACGGGTAAGGAGAGGTCGCTGGCTCGATGGGCTGCAGATCATCTCAAGGAACACGGGCGACCGCTGCGGATAGCCATTGACGAGGCCCATTGGAGATTCAAGAATATTACGGATGCGAAGGAGGCCGAAATTCAACAGAGTTCGTAACCTATCTCTTCTCCTGTCCCGTCCCCTATCACTTCGCGACCTCTCTTCCATTTCACGAGATGCGACTTTCCGTCTTCTTGGCATCAACAACCCCCGCTCGGATAAAGGGTTTCACTCTTAACAATGTTTGTGACAATCAAAAAATTCACCTAAAACATGCACAGAAAGCCCTGGTTCACACCCTCGGGAGAAAGCCATACTCGAACGCATCCTGCCGCTACTGCGTCTAGGTATCCAACTCCTTTTCGTTTTTGACGGCGAAAAGCGGCCGGGGGTGAAGAGGGGATCAAAACGATACGGTCAGCGCGAGGCAACCACTGCACTCCTCAAGGACATGCTTGACCATATCCTCGTGCCGTGGCATCAAGCCCCTGGAGAGGCCGAGGCCGAGTGTGCACTACTACAGCAGAAGGGCTTGGTCGACGCTATTTGGTCCGAAGATGGCGACCCGTTCATGTTCGGCTGCACCCTTCTGATCAAGGACCTGCGAAATGCCAAGAACCACAAGCTCAAAGAAGAAGCCCGATCCTTCGACATGAGGGATATCAGAAAAACGGGGCTGTTCAACAAGAAGAGCATTACACTCTTTGGGATGTTGACTGAATGTGACTACGCTCCTGCCGGGCTCAAAGGGTGTGGTGAGTCCATAGCTCGCCAGTTAACCAAGAACGGGGGTCTCGTCGAGGGGTTCTGGCGAATCCAAACAGAGGCCGATGCGGCTCGTTGGCGGACGCGTCTCGAAGAGGCGATAGACAGAATTACATCAAGTTCGAGTTTGAATTTCAACAAGGAGAGATCCAACATTGGAAACTTCCCTAGCCTCCAGGCCTTGAGGAATTGTCGGAACCCCACCGTCTCCGACGCAGCAACTCTTAACAGTCTTCCATTCTTACAGGGCGAATGGTACAGGACGCACACAACTGAGAGCATGAGGACGACGATTCCGTGGATGCAGGCACGTTTCTTTTCTCGAATGGCCACCATTTGGTGGGTGGAGCAATTCATACCCGTGACAATGAACCAGAGGTTTCTAAAGAACAACACTGAAGCACGCAATCTTGTGGCAAAGGTTGTGCAGAAACGGAAGGACGGCCCAACGACCTCTGTCGAGTTTGATCCGTGTCAAGTCTTTTTTGGCATTGAGAAGGCCGTTCTCATCTCTGAGGGAAACCATCTTCTGAATCGATGGGGCGAGCTCGATAGAAGGCGGGAAGGACAACCAATAATGAATGCAAAAGTCGATATGCTCGACGCGATTCTCAGTCAGGGCTTGTCTGACGCAGAGTTTCAACGTTGGCGAAAAGAGCCCAAGACGCCTCCGCCCAACAAGATTCATCCGGTACACCCGCCTCAAGACTCAAAGGTTCAACAGACGCCCCTCGGTAGTGATCTTTCCTTCGTGGAAAGCCTCTTCCCAGCTGGTACCGGTAGTTTCACAACGCCTTTGCTCTCGTTCAGCGCAGCTCCAGGGGGCGACATAGGTGTCCCACAGGACCTCCTGAATCAGCAGCAGCAAATCCTGGACGACACCCAGTCAAGCAAGAAGCAGACTCCCATCAAAGATACTCGCAGTAACAGAGATCACATCCAAGTCACGACCCCGATCCACGGCCGCCGTCGTCCAGGAACTGAGCATCGAGTCGACGGCCAGTCCTCGGGTACAGGTCATTCTTCCGCGTCAGATACCACAACGGTAAGAACACCAATCAGCCCCGACACCTTTCGAAGAAAGCGACTGGCGAAGCTCGATGCAGGTCGAGGCGGTGGCAGCACTACCGTTGACGCCAGACTTGGGAACTTCAGCTCCACACTAGACAAGATCTGGAGCCTTGACGAGGAGGACGACGAGGCAGGGGACATTCGAGGCGGCGACAGCAAGAAGAGAAAACTGGAAAGCTCTCTCGCGGAATACGCGCGGCATGCGGTACCTGGGGCACGAGGGAGACAGATGTTGCTTGAGATGGAGCTAGACTCCTCTCAGGATTCCATGCGGAGTGTGCCGGTCAGGACGAAAGGAAGCGTCCGAAACAACCCCTCTGCGAAGGATGCGCAGCCAGGCGCCGCCAAGCCGCTGGCGAGCGGCTGTGGTAAGGGAACGGCTGATGATCCTTTGGAGATATTGTAGCGGAGGAAGGCCGGGACCGGGTTGCCGTCTTGGGACAGAAGGCAGGTCAGCGAGTTGATAAGTATATATATGCTCGGTCGACGAGCGCGTCGGGGCCGTTCACCGGGCACCAGCACTTCTCATCGTCGGCTCCACGTCCGGATTCACCGGGGGAGTGTTTAACTCTTGGACCAAAACCCCGGGTATCACTGCAGTATCGCCAAGGAACTTGATATACGTGGCTTTGACGGGATGTTGTTTTAACAAGCTGGAAGTACGTCATGGGCTAGCATTTCAGAGCGAACAAATATGAGTATGACTCTCCCCGACACGGCTAACCATGATACTGTACAAGGTGACAGAATAAAGAACAAGAAACTGAGAAGCCGCCTCAAGCGGCGAGTTCGTCCTTTGACATTGCACCACCCCCTTCCCACGTCTCTCGGTAGCTTTACAAACATCAATCTGACCCATCCCACATGGGCAATGTACCCCCTCCCCCGTCCATTATACACTTTCGCTTGCTTTTTCTCCTCCTCCCAGCACCCCCCACTCTCGGCTTCACCTCCGGCCCTTCTTCGACGGTGGCGGGCTTGGCGACCGGGACACCGAGTCACTGTACCTCCTCCGCTTCGCACCCACAGGACTCCTCGAGCCCTTGCCCCGATCATCGGGCGAACTTCTCTTGAGCGACCTCTTTGGCGGAGGGCTTGGCGATCTCGACATCGAATCGTCGCGGCGGGCGACTCTAGCCCGGGGCGGGGGCGAGACGCTGGCAAGGCCCCGTGCACGGGGCGGAGGTGAACGGCTGTCTCTTGGCCCACGGCGCTCAACAGGAGAGCGAGACCGCGAGTCGTATGAGGACGCACGGCTCGGTGTGCGGCTAGGAGAGCGGCTGTCGTAGCGGGCGCGTTTCCGCGGCGCACTGCTCACCGACGAGCTGTTCCGCCGGGCTGCGCGGCGAACGTCTGGCCTGGGGCTACGGCCACGGGCTGAGCCTCGAACGGAGCCTCGGGCAGGCGGGGGGCTGGCCGAATAGGAGGCGGAACGTCCTCTCCGTGGCGAGGGAGACTTGCTGACGGATGGGCTGTTTCTCCGGGCAACCCGTCGAGGCGGTGGCGTCGCGCTGAGACTACGATCCCTAAGGCCATTTCGGGCTGGAGGGGGAGACCTAGAATAGCTAACTGAGCGGCCGCGTTTTCTCGGCGGGCTTGCGGAATAAGAGTCATCGCGGCGTCCTCTTCTAGGAGGCGTGACCGAGCGACTGTAAGAGCGAGATCGGGTCGAGCTCCGGCCCCGGCTGTAGGAGCGCCCTCGTCCGCGTGGAGAAGGGGATCTGGAGTCGGAATACTTGCGGTCGATAGCACGCCGGGGCGTGCGCGATCTTGACCGCGAGCGGGAGTATGACGAGCCGGTGTAGGAAGAGTAACTAGAAACCGACTCTGAGTCGGAATCGGCAGCTGCCGGAGCGGGCAAAGTCGGCTTGGGCATGTTCTGAAGATACTCTCTGGAAGCCTCTGTGAGAGCGCCCATGCCGATACTGGTGAAGTAGTTGATGGAGAAACGGATGTTGCGCGCGTTGTCGCGAGGGAACAAGCCGACGAAGCTGGGCTGGAGAATCTCATCCTTCATCCGCGCCTGGAGCTTCGCCATACCAAGCTCCTCGGCGATGTCCTGGAAGAGGATCTTGATGAAAATTCTGGAACTGCTAGTTGTCTCGTCCTCGTTCAAATGAATGACGGATAAAACATGCCAGCCAATGGCGTCGGTTGCAAGCAAATGCGCAAAGAAGCGCGCAATGTTGCGAAGCCTGTTCGTCTCGTAGCGATGGATTTTGCTGTAGTAGTCGGCAAACGACTCCTCAAAGAGACCAGTCCATAACCGGTTCAGCTTAGCGAAGCGCTCACCAATCAGACCGTGGAACTTGGAGAATGTTTTCTCCTGGGAGCAGATCTCGACAATCATCGACGGAAGTTCCGGTTCCTGGCCGGCCGGAAGATTGACTCGTAGCAGCTTGTGTACGGCTTCCTCGGGGTCGATGGACGACATGACTGTCAGGTAGATGGTGCGCCGCAGGTTGACCAAATCAGTGTTGGACTGGTCCTTTATTTCCATCGCCTTCTCCTCCTCGTTCTCTTCTTCCTCTGAGCTCTCGTCTTCATCATCATCGTCGTCGTCGTAGTCGCTGCCCTCTCCCAAGATTTCGGCCTTCAACTTTTTGTACGCCTCCTCGTGCTCCTCCCATTGCGGGTCGTACTTGAAGATGTTGAGGCTGTCTTGCACGTCAATCTCTCCGTCCAGGTCGACCATGTGTGTGATTTGGTCTTCCTCTTCCACCAGGTCCAACTCCTCCTTGATGGGCGGGTTGTCCTTGAAGTTATCTTTCCGAACCTGGAAGAGCACCTCGATCATGTACTGCACGCGCTTGTCGATGTCCGCCTCGTGCAATACATTCCTCAACTGGTCCCAGACCGCCAAGGCGATCGCAGGCTGCATGTCCTGCAAGTGCTGTCCCACCTCACGCATGAAGTTGACGGCGATCTCGACACTGTCGTCCGTCGGCTTGTGAAGGAGAAGGAGGAGCATTTGACCAGCGAGTCGTTCGTGAGCGACCTGGTGGTTTATGAGATGCGCCAAGAAGGTGGTAGACGAGACACAGACAGCCTTGTCGCTGCGCTTGAAGCCCTTGCGGAAGGACATGATGAGACGCTTGACCAGAAGCTCGCCGACGGCAGGCAGCTTCGTGTTGACAATAGCCGCCATGGCCGCAAAGACAGGGGTGAAGGGCAGAGACGCCGCTTGCGCCTTCATAATGGATCGACAGAACAAGCCGCGGCCCTTGATCAGATTCTCCCCAAACAGTTCGGGGACAATGTGCTTGATGTTGGAGTAGTTGACCTTGTTGATCAGACCGTTGATGCTCTTCTTCAGCGCCTCCCACATCAGCCTCTGGTATTCCTTGGAGCTCTTGTCGGTGATCTGGGCCTGCAGCGCCCTCAGTCGCGCGGGCGGGATGTATGTGCCTCCGGATCGCATGGACAGCAGCTTTTCGTATTCGGCCTTTGCGATGGCCTGCTTCTCCTCCTCAGTCTTGACGGGCGGTGTCGGGCGTCGCTGTTCTTTGTGAGCCGGTCGGTAGCTGTCGGTGCGGTCGCGATCGCGTTCTCTGTCTCGGTTACGAGGGCGCTCGTTGTCGCGGTGATGTCGACGGTCGCCGCCGTCACGATCGTCTTCAAGTTCGCCATCGCGTTCGCGCCGCTCGAGGCGCGGGGAGCCAACGTCTGCCGATGCCATCGTGCCTCGCTGTCTGTAAGTCCCCAGAGCACCTATCGAAGGTTCACAATCGCGTCGGGGGTCTTGCAACGTCAAGGAGTAGGCGGCAGGTTAATCGGAGATGCGTTGGTGTTGCTGGAACTCTTTTTTTTTCCTTGGAAAAAGGTTACTGCTTTGACGCAACTGGATCCTTGGGCAGGAGTTACCTAAAAATCCAAAGTGTGGCTGGGAACATCAAGACCCACCATTCGTCGGACGAAGCACGGGCCATGCGGCTGGAGCTGCCCAAGAACCGGGGACCTGCCTGGCTAGAAGTCAAGCCATTCATTAAGTCAACCGTGGCAGCTCCTTTTAGCGCAAGAGAAGTTAAGTCCAGTCCACAAGGCGCGCCGCCCTCATCCCCTGAAATCGCGACGACATTTTTCCCGATCGGCCACGGCAGCTACTACTGGCCTGACGTACCTCATCTCGATCCTCCTCTCTCCTCCCCCACGATCTTCTTCTAAACCGGCCACCCATTATCCAAAACGACGGTCATCGCTTGCACCCGCTACCTGCCAATTCTCTCTTCACGCTCCTTAACCCCCCCCCCGTCCAATAAATCGACAATGGTACGTTGAGAAGCCACCGAAGGAACCCGCATGCATCCCACATTACGCGCTTGCCTGTGCAGCAAGGGAGGAGAGGACACAGAACATCGCAACAGCTAGCTAACACATGCTTCTCTTTCTTTCAGAGTGGAACTCTCGTCGGCTTCGCCATGCTCGTGGCTGCCTCTGTGATCTTCACATACTACTCCATCTGGACCCTGCTCATGGTAAACACCCCTCCTATCCTGCCCTTTCTACAAGTGGCCAGCAAGGTTTGCTAACCACCCTCTGCGATAGCCCTTTGTCGATGAAGGCCACCCTCTCCAGAACTTCTTCCCTCCCCGCGTCTGGGCAATTCGTATTCCCGTCATTCTCATCCTCCTCGGTTCCGCCGTCGTCGGCTCCTTCTTGGGGACTGTCATGATCCGGAGCAACAGGAAGAAGGCCGCCAAGGCCAAGGCTGCCGCGAAGAAGAAGGCGTAAAAAACAGCAAGGAAATGGAAGGTTATTATAATGGCTGCTCGTCTCAAAGCCGGAACCAAGTTTTGGCATGGTTAGATGTCTGGAATGGCAAGGACATCAATGATGATTGCTTAGTAGGCATGGGTCACTGTGTGCACAAGAGCACCGAGATGGGTATCTAAGCTGGTTTTATTGGAGAATGAGCGCGCAGCTCACGTTGCCAGAAGGGCTACCTGCTCTGATAATCTTCAAGGACTTATACCCTAGACCAGGGAGAACCCCCCAAAACACCAAATAAAGGAGTGAGTGGCACGACCGGCCAAGTACATGTAATGCCCAATGATCTCAGGCCTCAGCCTGCACGTGTCTTGTTGCACATTTCTAGACAAAATCATGGCGCAAATGACTACTGGTCTAATCTAGCTCCAAACGCCTCTTGGATCGTTTCTCAAACTCTCTGATCGGCGAAGTCGAGGACTTCGCAATCATCCTCAAAGAAGCCATCTTCGTCCTCCATGTGTCGTGCTCCACGTCGACGGCGAGTCGTAACAACAATCTCATCGCCGTTCTCTCCACGATGCATCACTCTCTCCATCGATGACAGTGGAAGCGCACGATGATCATCCGAGATGTTGAATTCATCTTCTGAAATCGAGTGGTGTCCTGTGTCAAGCTTGACAAGGTTGAGAGGCTGGCCAAAAGCCCATGGTTGCAACGAGTCCGTCGCTACAGGCGTGTGCCGGGCACGCGAGCGTTGCTGCCGCTTCCTCTGCTTTGGCGTCGCCTGATCCTCCAGCGCAGTGTCAGCCATGAGAGCAGCTAGCGAAGGCGGCAAAGCTGCTAATTGACCTCCATATTCGTACAGAGACACGCGTCTGTCGGTATGGAAAGGCTGATACGGCGCACTGGACTCTATCTCGGCCTGAGGGATAGAGGCTTCAGCGCTTAGGTCGGTTTGGAGCGGCCTAGCTCGCGGGTCCAGGGTCAGCGTCTTGCCTGCGTCCATCTCTCTGTCGGACAGATCCAGGTATTCGTCGGAGTCGATGAATTGTCGGACTGCAGGGGACAAGCCATCGATAGGCAGAGCGGGAACTTTGAAATCCTTATAACGAAGTCCCCGAGGCGTTCGCTGCTTGCTGGTCGCGGTTGACGAGCGACGAGTCTTGGACGGGAACGTACGGACGAGGCCGTCGCCGACGACGTACAGTGTATGGTACTTTCTACCAGTAATCCACACAACGCACGACGAGCCTGGGAGCGTTGAGCTTTGTGGCAGAGACACGCGGTTTTCTCCTGTGTGACGCAGCTGGTTTATGGCGACGCCGGTCTTGCCCAGGGAATGGCTGATGCTGGCAGCGATAGCCCTCCCACCTACGCTTGCAGAATCGACAAAGTTGCCACTGCCCAAGCCCTGGGCATTCACGCTGCTCCTACGCGGCCTAGTGATCAAAGGCCTGGCGGCATGATAAGCTGCGCCAAATGCGCTGGAAGCAATCGAGACTGCAGAGCTGGGTGCGTCCGAAGAAGGAGCACCGTTTTCTTCTGTTGCCTTGCGACGGCGAGGTGGCGGCCAGGTGAAGGCACTGGAAGGCATGTCGAGAAGATGAACGGTTCCTCTCTCGGTGACCATCGCAATCCGTTCCCCGTTCGGTTTCGACCAGGCAACGTCGACAATCCGAGCAACCGTCATCCGCGAAAACTGCGCAACCTGGCGAACTCTTGGGCCGACCGCGTTGTTGGCAGCCGACACTTGAAGAGGCGACGACTTGGTGTATTGGATACACATCAGATCCCAAACCGTCTGCACATCACCCTTGCCGCTAGCCGTGAAAAGAGACAGTCCCGTGGGCGAGAAAGACAAGAAGCTGCAGCCAAGCGGCGACGCGAAGGTAATGAGGGGGTGCAGAGTTGTAGAAGTTGGCAAGCTGTCCATATCCAGAATAGAGACGAGGCCGGGATCCTTGGTCACCGCCTGACCAGGTGTGCCATGTGTCGGTGGGAATTGAGGCGCATCGTGACGGGGAGGATACGAACCAGCCCACTGCTGAGCTGTTAACGGAGGCGACCTAGACTGCGACGGAGGCGTCTGGTTCGTGTTCTTGTTCCAGTATGAGTTCCAAGCCTGCAGTCCTTGCTGGCCGACCCATTTCGCTCCAGAGATCAGCTCTTGCGTCGTCTCGCGCATGATCTTGTTCACCATGCTCTCAGCCATGGGAGAGTCAACCGAACCGGTGACTGGGGGCAGTACAGGCGAGGTCACCGAGGAGATGCCAGGAGCTTTGCCCATAACGGGTACCGGGACTTGGGCCCGGAGTGCAATCTGTGAAGAAGCCGCGGGAGGACAATAGGCAATCCATTTGCCGTTGAGTGACAGTATCGGGGTTTGCGGGTTGGGTCGTGGGGGCGCCGGTGAGTGGCGCCTCTCTGCTTCCTCCGAAACCTCGCCCCTAGGAGGTTGCTGGAGGCTGGTCCAGAGTTTGCCAACACAGCCGAACCGGCTGGCACCCTCGTCGGAATCCGGGATGGAGCGGTAAACCCAGCACTCTCCACTTGTGCCCGAAGCCACAACGATGTTTCCGGCATCAGCTTTGATGGTGAATGCACCCGTGGGAGGTGGTGCCTTGAAGATCGGGCTGGTGACCGGGGTCGAGAGAGGGACCTTGGGAGCCTGAAGAAGTACGTCGACTAGCTTGCCAGTCTTGAGTGAATACAGTTCGACTGATGTCTGGTAGAACTCGATAGCGGGCGTGAACCGTCCGGAGGGGCCGCCCTTCTGGCTGCCGTCTGTTCGAGGACTGCCAGGTGTGTCGGCTCTGTCTTCGGCAACGCGATCGTTCGCTGCCTGGATCGCGATCTCGGGAGACGTCTGTGGCAGCACTGGGCCGTGAATGACGATAGCGACGAGCGGGGAGTTGTCGACCTTGCTACCGGGGTTCGACCACGGCAAGATTTTGGCGTCGTAAACGCCTCCTCGCAGTCCTTTCAGACCGGCGACACGATCCAGGCCGCGCTTGCTGACCGAATAGACTTCGAGGCCACCCTCGTAGCCAGCCAGCGCGACGTTGTCCGATCCCGGCACAAACTCAGTGTGTGTCGAGGGAAGCGTGTCAAAGCCGAAGTAGTAGCCTTTCTCGCCGGCCTTCATACCGGCCTTGGAAGCCATATCGAAATCGATGTCGGGAGCACCATAGAAGTGCGGCTGGGCCTGGTGGGGGAGTGGGGGTTGTGGACCGACTCTGGCGTGGGACAGCTGAGATTGCATGGAGCTGCGACGGTATGCTGCAGCTGCAGCCGGTTGATGGTAGGCCTCGAGTGGGAATTGGGCGTCCATCTGGAAGCTGAGGGGCCGCTTCATGTGGTTTGGCATGCTGTTGGGAGGGGAAGGGGAGGCCGTTTGGGGAGTCAAGGACTGGCGCTGAACGGCCCATCCGTGGTGGAGGCGGCCAGAATCCTCGTAGGAGGAAGGCTGGGTGGGCGGTGACTCGCCCATGAGACTGATCAGGTTGCCTGGAGAGCCGGCGAGACCTCCTCTTGCCCAGTCTTGGTTTGTGCTCGCAGCTGAGGCGGAAGTTGTGGAAAGAGCATCCAGAGATGGCGAGATGGTGGGGTGCCCATCGTAGGGAGACGGGCCTTGTGCTATGGGTTGAATGTCGGGAGAATTTACAGGAGGCGACGATGCATCGGACGGAGGACTCTTGGAAGGACTACCGTTTCTTTTTGGGTTGTTAGACTGTTGTCACGACAAAAGGGGGGGGGGGGGGAGCAACAGTGACTCAACGCCGACTATCGCGGGGTTCCAAATAAGAGCAGGGGTGGAAGGGGGAAACTTACGCGAACTTGCCCGCGGCGAGTTTCGTCACCGCGGCGCTAACTGCACCATCTTTCGCGTTCTTCCTGTCCTTCTTCGAACCTGTATAGAAAGAGATGATGAGTATGCGGTTCTTATGAGGATTGCGGCGCGTACGGGGCATAAAGTTGGAAGAGGCGCCCGAACTTACTCGGCATTCAAGTGGTGTTGCGCCGCAGTTGGAGCAGTCTCCTGCTCCAAGGACCTGCGTTTCCGCAAGGCAGCTTCTACCTGTTTTATGGAAAGGGCCGAGGTGTTGGATGAGAGAAGAGTCGTGGATAGCGGCGGTCAGCGGCTCGGTATCGTCTTTTGGAAGGTTTTCGAGGGTTGCAAAAGACAGAGTTGTCGGTCTATTAGGGGATCGCGCCGAGTCGACCAAAAGGCGGCAGATGACTTCGGATGACGAAAGTGCCGCAGGTGCTGTGGAAATACTTTGTAGAGCGACGGCTATGTATGGCAACTCAAAGGCGGACAGAAGCAAGGCAGAATATGGCGGGTGCCGTTAAAGCAAGGTAGGTAAGATGGACGGTGGTTGAAAGTGTACGAATGAACAGAAGAGAGTTGAAAGAGCGGCTTCCTTTCCAGGCACAGCCAAGGTGGAGAGGAAGAGAGACAGATTACTAGGACGGCAAATGAAACATCTATAGAAAGAGACAGAAAGAGGAAAGACGTGACAGGTCGTGACGGACGTGACGTGACTGATTTGTTCACGGGAATAGCTGCTATTGTGGTTCGTGGTTTGTGATGTTGGTGTTGATGAGTCGAAGGAGAGAGCACGGGGAAGAGTCCAGTGTCGGTGTCAGTGAGGTCAGGCAAGGTCCGATATGGATCCCGCTCAGTGCGGGTAGGTGGGCTGGGCTTGCTTTGGTACGTGCTCCCCGCCATCAGCCATCAGCCAGCAGCCAGCTGCCGTACCTAGGTAGGTCCTGGTCTGGCCGGGATGGATCTTGGTCAGGTACCTCTGGGTCTCTCCCTCTCCCTCCCTCCCACTCTCTCCTCTCTCTCTTTCTCTCTCTCTCTCGCACTCTCTCTCTGACACCTCCACCACCCCTCCATGGCGGCGGCGTCTAAGATAAGATACCGGTGGGAGACCTTCCTTACTTAGCCAAGCAGCAGGGCACCACCTCATCACATTACACTGTCACCATGGAACCGACAGAGTGACAAACCACCCAGGTGGTTTGTTCGACATGCAAGAGGCCGGTAACTCTGTCAACTCTCACTCGCCAACAACAGCGACTAACTACGTACCCTCATCTTCAGCCATTACTGGCCGCCCGATGGGTGCGGGGTCTTCGCGTGCTTTCGTTCTCTTCCATTGCTCTCTCATCCGACCCCCGAGGACGGCGCGGCATCCCCCAATCCAATGTCCCCTCCAAGCCACCCCTCCGCGCCCTCCATCTCAACCGGTCAGTTGGGGGAACCAGAGCCAAGGGGGGGCAGGGATGTCGAGTGCAGACAGCTTGCTAGATTTGCCAGGACTGGGGGGCTGGACTGGAGGGGGAGGGGTGTTCGACGGTGTTGGGAGACACCTCCAAAGCACTGGCATTGTCTCCGTCCTGCGACTGCGAAGTGAGAGGTTCCAAGTGGGAGGTATTCCTCGGCTTCAACCACCGCCGCTCGGTACCTGCTGGCAGTGCGCATCGCGGGCAACGCGCAGGACGCAGTGCGGATACAGATACCTACAGATACCGCGTACCAATCTGGGCCCAGCTTGCATTGGACAGGGGGTTGGGACACTGATCCGGGGGGCCTGGTGTTTGTACCTTGACATGTCCCTCGGCGTATCTCTGCTGCGACGTTTGGTTGCCGGACAACTTGGGCATGACCTCATCAGCTGACGAAGGGTACATACTATGGGCCCCGGCTGGACCGCGTACCTTTTTGGCGCAAGCACGGCAGGCGAAGTGCGTTCCTACAGAGTCCAGCGGGCGTGGGTGCTCATGTTCTTGACACTCTGCACGCCCTGGCCCATTCTGTCATTGTGTGTTCTACTTCTGGATCACCGGAGTTGAGTCCAGTCCAGCCAGCTATTTGTCTCTATAATTCACGCGTTCCAGCGCCTCCAATCTACTACTCTTCTCTAACCGAAGATACGCAGTAACCTTATCTTTGCTTGCTACCGGCGACGGAAACATCCAAGCTACATTCGGCATGTTGGAGGAACACTGATTCCAACTACGAATTCAAAGTTGTCTAAGACCCCTCTTTCAACTCAGCATTGCACTGTCTCTTCCATTGCTTTCTACCGAGTCTCCGAGCTGTCTCTCACTCACCCACCCACACATACCCCCTAAGCTCAGCTCTGCATGCGCATACAGAACAAACAGAGTCTCTTGCCGAGGCCGGAGTTGCAGGCGGCAACGGCGCGAGGTCCAGCCAGAGCCAAATTGTCAAACCAGATGTCAGCGACCACCAACACCGAGCTTTCTCCCCCAATCTCATCAGTTTCCGTAAAATCCAAAGACCATGCCTGTAGCCGGGACCAGCTGCTGACGTCTGGGCTGTGCGTACCTGCGCGTGCCTGCGCCCGCGATGAGGACGACGGACGACGGATAGGAATGACGATCCGGGGGTGACCGATGCCATCATCCCGCTTTGGCCTGATGACTGGCGGCACAGGCCCAACCAATGCTTACTCGGCCAAGCATCCTTTTGGCGAAGCAATCATGGACGGATTGCAGAACTAGCGAAACGGTGCCCTCTTCATTTTGCCGCCATCCGCTGGCAGATTGCCTCCCACTTCCTGGTTTCCTACTGCAGAATACCGTGGTCGTCCCGTTACCCCCCGTCATCGGTCATCCGTCCACCCCATCCTATCGCACCGCTTTCTCATAAACTACCACACACCCGGCAGCGCTGGGCCAGACCGTCCAACTGACAAAGACACCTGACCCCTCGGTGGAGGACGGGGGGCCACCACGTCAGGTGAACAGGCCACTCACAGTGCTCCTCAGGCCCACGAGAACAACACACCACCGCTGACGTACGTAGGGTTCTCCCGGGTTCCCCTCCTCATGCCCGTAACCTCTCAAATTGCTTTGCTTTGGGGAGCTGCGAACCTCAGCCCTCGCCGTTTCAAGAACTGAGGTGCAGGCAGTGTCGCCATTTTGTTGGGGAACAACTGAGTTTGTGGCTATCCTCGGCCCAAATAACCTAAGGCACCCTCAATGCGATGAGGCAAAGCGAGGCGAGACGAAGCCAGGACGAAGCAGCGTGCGACGATGCAAGGCACGGAGTCGGCCGTGGCCGCAACGCCGACGAAGCGCAAATAAAGCGCATAGAGCGGTCTGAGGTCGGATGCATCAACGGACGAATCTGCCGTCATCGATGAGATCGAAACCGATTTGCCAATTGCTAAAGATGGGGAAGGAATTGCCATCGGTGAAACACAATGGCCTGCAAGACACACATTGCACCAACTGTCAAGGACGCAGTGCCATGCTCTGGTGGTTGGACTTAATCGATCTTGCCAATTCACATCCTCATTCGGCGGCACATCTCTGCGTTGAATATCTACGTTTGGCAGGGCCGCCGCACGTTACACCTTAGAACTGCGACACAGCAGGCAGCTCGCCCTCGATCTCAGTCCACTGGTCGAGCCAGACTCGATATGCATCCATCCGCCACTCCCCATCATGCCTCACCCACTGTGCACTACCAGCCCAGCTGAACACGTTTTCACTTCCATCCAAACCCTTGCGCCTTACTCCCCCCTTCAGCATGACGTGCACACCCTTCTCGGTAGCTGAGCCGATCGCGCTCGTGATCCAGTGCTTCCTCGCCGAGACAGAGCTCCACATCGCCGTCCGTAGTTGTCGGAGGTCTGCTTACCCAGTCAGCCATCCGCAGAAAGTTTCCCGACATCTTATCGCAGACGTACTCTCATGCTTCTCGGCCGCCTGAGGTCCAATCTTGGCTTTGGCGCCAGGCGTGTAGAACTCGATCCAGCGCTCGTCCAGATCGCGGTTGTCGCTGGTTCGGTAAAAGTCCCGTATCCGGAGCCGGAGGTCCCGCTCGATCGCCGTCTCGCTGGCCGAGAACGGCTCCATCTGGGAGTAGCTGTCGTGCGGCTCAACGCCCTCTGTAGCAGCGAAGCGATCCATTTTGTTGTCTTTTTGCTTTGTACGTTGCGATTCAATACTGGTTTCAACTCACGGCCAATCTGATGATGTGTGTTTGAAGAGTGAACATGCGGAGCTGTGACGTATATAACCGACCGAGTCTCCAGTGTTTTTTTCAGAAAAGCTTCGGCCCGGGGACCCTGACGGCACCCGATCTCCGGGATCCTCGTCGGGAAATATCTTGAGATCACGACTCCATCATCGATCCTACTACATATGATATCGCCAACAATTGTTTCTTGTATAGAATAAAATTGCAGTCGATATAACTACTCTCGGTCGCGGCTCCATCCGAGGCCAATTCCAGGTTCCCACCGGATTGGCAAAGACTAGCATCTCCAAATGAACATCAAAACCTGTCATGCAGATATTCGCTCACCTCTCAGAAACCACACAAGGATGTCACCATATCGCACATCAAACCGCTTCCTTCACCATAGTCATAGTTCTTGCAAGTCTATCTAGGGTCAACTTTTGCAATATGCCACCTCCTCACGCCTCCGCCTTGTCTTTTCCACTTCTCATAATCCAGTTCAGATTGAACCGTTAGCAATAGGGCCATCCCTCTCTGGTTTTAGAGAAACTTCGATCCTTAGAGGGTAAGCATCAGGAGAACCGATCAGCTGCATGCTTCACAATGTGCTCTGGCTGGTCATGGTCGGACCCCCAGGTCAGTTACAGTCAATCTCTCCACGGGCAAGTCTACCTTCCGTTGTGGACATCTGGGCCTTCGATGATGCAAAACGGTCCTGCTTCGACTCCCTTTTTTCTATCTCCCAAGTTATCGTTGGAAATGCTCATTTCTGCCCAAACTCGATGCCCGAGTGCCATAGGACAGAGGAGTCCGGGGTCGTTGCCGCAACTGCTCGACCATCTTTGGCAGAGAGCCCACACCTGGCGAAACCATACAGAAAGCCAAACTCGGCCGTGGAAATCGAGCCACCCGGAAGGCTAAGCTGCTCAGAGAACCCTGTCCTGTCGTGACGTGTCTGAGTGACCATATCGGTAGAATGTTGAATCGGCCAGCAGGGGAGAAAGGAAACATCTCTTTCAAGGTTTCCGTCACTAAGCGAGCATCTCTTCTTCGTCGTCGTGGCCAGAGGTTTCTCCTCGTGCCTGAAATCTTGAGCAGAAACGGAGCGTTGAAACGTGTGAACATCGGCGTCCTCGGACCATTCAGCGTTGACAACAAACAATCTGACCAGTTTGCCGGTATTTGCTCTTTGTTGCAGTATTGGCCATGCGTTGTTTTTAGATTGACACACTTGCTGCCAACGGAACCTCGTGATGTCTTCACTGCATGGGTGCTCCACTGACAAAAGGACCGGCGTGACTGACCCTTACCGGATTGGATGCACGTACCCGTAGATAAGATGGGCTCGCGTAAGGCAAGACAGCCCCGACAGAAGGGAAATGAAAGCACAAAAATGGAAAGCAGAGCGCAAAAATATTTTCATCTGCATGAGCAGATATTGATCGTGGACGTACAGGGGATCGAACCCTGGGCCTTTCGCAGAGACGTATAGATGCAAAGCGAATGTGATACCACTACACCATGCGCCCGAACATGAGTAATTGAAAATTAATCCCGATTAATAGCCTAAGTAGGGCGCTTGCAAGGGTGGACATGCGGGAGAGGGGTACTGGTGGGAACGTCGGCCGTTTTCAGGCACTCGTATTTGACTGGAAATGCCACGGAATGCCACGTACGTGAAGGGCTGCTCTCTCCGAAAAAGGAGAATTAGAAGATAACCAAGTTTTGATTACAAAAGTGTGCTATGGATAGGCAGTTACTGCTTTAGGCGACACCGTTTCGGGGGATCAACTGAGACCTTGACATGTATGCATAGACTACACCCGCACAGTACAGAGGAAAATTGCTTGTGATGGCTCTTCCATGGCAACTACAGACTGACATTCCAAGGGTTGTACTCTCAAGTTGTTAGCCAGTATGGGCATCATGACTTTCTGTCAGTCGTGCCGCGGTGAGCCGCACCGCACAACACAATGGTAGCGCTGGGAAGGGGACCAGGTCATGTACACCTCAAACACGCCCGCTATCGAGGTATACAGCTCGCTACCAAGCTTTACTAAACACAAATTGCCCAGCCTAGAGGACCTATCTCGTACAGAATATCCAAACATTGTGAATCACCTCGCCCACGTTACGTGGCGCAGTCCAGCCCAGTATCCCTATCAAATACATCCATGGCCTCCCACCACCAGGTCCTTTATCCCGTCGCAGCCATCCTTACATCGCCGACCAGTTCCAGTCTTCCATTAGATACAGTTTCCTCTCTTACCCAAGAAGAACCTCGATCCGGTCCCTCGCCACTGCATCCCAAACCTTCTGTACCACATGCCCCAGCCCCCTCCGGTAACACACGCCGCCCACCCTCTCAACCCACAAGACGTTGACAAAGTCCACAATCTCGTCCTCGTCCATGTTGTCCCGGAAAGCGTCCAGGTCAAACACATGGCTCCCGCCCCTCTCGCTCGCCATCGAAATCGCCACAAACTCCAGCTTCTCCTCCCCGGTGTGGTTCGCGCCCTGCAGGCCCAACCAGCTGTCGTGCGCCGTGACCACGCCGCACCACTTGCCCGTCCGCGACCAAATGTTTCCAATCGCCAGCGGCACGCCGTAGCCCCTGCCCGGCGCGACCAGCCCTGCTGCCGGACCGGTGTTGTTGCCCGTGTTCACGGCGTTGGCGGCCTTGGCGTCGAGCGGCGCCCCGTTCCTCGCCGTGGCAAAGTCGACCTCGAGGAACGCCATGGTCGTGCTGAACGACAACAACGTCGCGCTCAGCGCAAAGTCTCCGAACGGCGAGCCCCCGATCGCCCCGTCCCCGCCAGCCATCTCCGCCACGGGCACCGGGTACCGGAACACCACCTCCGGGTCTCCGGCATATCGAAACCCGCCGCTGCTCCTCGACCACCCCGCGGGCAACGGCACCGTCCTCCTGTGCCTACGGTCGCGGTACGCCATGCCGTCGTTCGGTAGCGGCGTGTACGTCGCCCGGTCCGTCAGCTCGTAGCTCACCAGCGACCGCAGCCGGAAGGCGTAGGGGCTCTTGAACCGCCTCTCGGCGCCCTTCTTGCCGGACGGCGGCGCGTCCTGAACGTAGTCTGCCGCGGCGCGCCAGAGCGTGAGGTCCGCGGGCACGCCGTCGTAGTGCCACCCGAGCCAGCTCCACGACGGCAGCGGGTTCATCCCCGTCACGGGCTGCATCATCTGCCGCCGCCGCACCATGGCCCGCGGCTGCCATAGCATCGCGACGTCGAGGAAGCCCACCGGCATGCCGAAGATGAAGCCGCCGGCGAACGACCGCGAGAGCACCGTCGTGATGCCCCGCAGGGCCCTCGTCGTGTCCGACATGAGCGTCACCCGCCGCGCGCTGTACTCCATCGCGATGCGCGCGTACTCGTCCATGTCCGGCCACACGGGGTGCAGGAACCCCATGGCCGCGGGGAACGCCCTCTGCAGGCAGGGGCCGTTGCGGCTCCCGCCCTTGAGGATCTTGCTGAAGCGGCCGCCGGTGGGCGAGCCCTGCCACACGTCGCAGTGGCACTCCCACGTCACAGTCTCCTCAAAGACGTACACCTTGCGCCGGGAGTACATGCCCTCCTGCACCGTCCACGCCCGGCCGGCCCACCGCGACGAGAGCACCAGGTCTTCGAGCTTCCTCGCCGTGGCCCCGCGCGGCGGCGGCGTCCTCCTCAGCAGTCCCGTCAGCCCCGTCTCGGCGTCCCCCGCCGCGGCCACGATTGTCAGGTACGCGTTCGCATAGACGTAGGCCATGTTCTTGACATGCTCCTCCCTTTCCACGTCGTCATCCTGCACGATGCAGAAACGGTCCACCCAGAGGTACTTGATGCCCAGCTTCCTCGCCAGCCACATCGCATCCAATATGGTCTGCGGTATGTCCGCGTCGTCCATGCTCGCCGTCAGCATCTCCAGGTTCCCCCTCAGCGTCTCGACAGGGCCCCTTGAGCTCGGCAGCGGCGGCTCGTAGACGTAGCTCAGCGCAATGTAACGGTCCGTCGCGCGCGCGCGCACAAGGCACCGGTTCACCGAATCGATGAGCCATATCGGCCGCCACGTGTCCCCCGGCGGGCTGGAGCAGTGGTCGCCGTGCTCTGCATTGCACGTGTCGAGCCACTCGCGCACGCGGCCCATCGGGTTGAACTTGCTCGCCGCCGTCGAGGCGGACGAGGCGCGGCGTGAGGGCGGCATTGTAGACGAGGCGGCGCCCACAGGTTCCCGTGCCGTACGCGCCGTCCAGGTGCTCATGAGCCGTTCCGTGATGCTCTGCCGCTTGGCGCCGTTGTTGGCGCTGTTGGGCGGCACACTCTGCCGCCGGGCGTGGCCGTTGTGGTGGGCGTTGCTGCCGCCGTGCCCGCTGCCGTAGTACTTGTCGTCCACCGCGAAGCTCTGCCGCTTTGCATCCCTCGGCGTAGGCGGGCTATCGCGGTCCCGGTCTCGATCCCTTTCTCGATCGCGATCCCTGTCCAGCGGCGGCGGCGGCGGTCCTCCTCTCTTGAACCCCGGATCTCGATCTCGATCCCGATCCCGATCCCGATCCTTGTCCCGGTCCCTGTCCCTATCGCGGTCTCTTTCCCGATCACGGTCACGGTGTCGTTCTGCACGAATATCCCTCTCCCTGCTACCCCTTGGTGGTGGCGGATTGTTTTGTGGTTGCGGTTGCTGCTGTCGTCGCTGGGGTGGGGGCGTGGGCGTCTGGGGTCTATATCCGGGGCCTACGTCGCCCGCGTCCTCCTCGTCCGACATCGAGCTCGCTGAGCTTTCGTCGGATACGACTTCTGGTCCTTCTGCTGGTCCCTGTCGTCTGGTCGCTGGCGTACCGCCGCCGCCACTGCGGGCGGACGGACTCGGGTGGTCCATCGCTTATAAGCCTGGCTGGTATCCCAACGGCTTTGGAGCGTTTCTCGTATGAGATGCGATGCACTCCCTGCAGGCGCAGGCGCAGATGCGTTGTGCAGATGCAGATGCGCTTTGCGCGGCGCTCGCGCGAGGAGCTTGAACGCTGCTGCGCGCAGTAGGTTGTATAGGTAGTTGGGCCTCCCTCGGGATTCTTTTGCCTCCCTCCTTGCGCGCCCTTGCGCCGTAACACTAGTGAAGGTGGCTCGGTGAGACCGTGCGACGGATGTTCCTGGGGCGATGGACGCAGGGCAAAAGTAAAATTTCGACGCCGTCGTCAGGGCACACTGCGCTGGTGTGAGATCAGCATTCGGTGGGTAATGAGAAGAGGTGTTCGGTTTCGATGATGTCGATGATGGTGATGGAATCAATTGGTTGGTGAAACGGTTCAGTATATGCGTGTGAACTGCCGCAGGGAAAAAAGAGAGAGAGGTTGCGACAGCGACGCGCACGCCACCCAGGTCAGTGAGACTGAGAGTGCGATATGAGAGGGCGGCCGAGGCGATGAGAGAGCGCGCGAGAGAGGGAGATGAGAGATGAGAGGTCGGAGGCACCGCCACCCCCGGCCCGCCCGTTCGACCAACCTCAATCGTCCCCCAGCCCCCTCTATTAACCAAATTACCAGACACCTTGGGCACGGAAATTGATGAAGCTTTTCGTGGTTTGGCAATGTCCCGCACTAGTTGATCATTGGGCTGTCGTATTACAGGGCTCTTCCCTACTCGATTTCCCGTCGTTCTAATTAGCCATGTGTTGCAATTCCCAAAATGTACTCACCCATGTAATTGCTGGATGGATTTTGTCATAATTTGACTTACATCACGAACGTTCAAACGTCACGGTCCGTGCCGTCGTCCAATTCTGGCGGCAGTGTTTTGAGCAGATTGGCCGAGTCAAAGGAGTTATTGTTCCCATCGTGCTCACATCTATTAAAATACATTTGCTTGCTAGTCTAACAAACTTGCGACGAATCTCTGCCACCATGAATCGGAGCAGGACCTTAGCCCCTTCCGCCGCCATCCACCACCATTCTCAGCTCACTTTCTCTGCCTCTGCGGCCCAGTTTCTGGCCCATGGTATTTGTATCGAGTGCCATCCCCGCCATAACCTTTACATGTTCCAAAACCTCCCAAACCAATACGCCTGTAAATGTGCAGCAGTCTTTGATGATCTCACGGTCGTTGAGTCGTCTGGCGCTTTGCACTAGGCCAGCCCTTGACTGTACGCCATCGCCGTTATTTTTTGTTTTGGCATCAAACCCCGAAGAAATGAAAAACCACTCAAACGTCATTAAACGTCAAATGTGATCACTGAAACATCGAAACCATTGAGCTTAGTCCGGCTACTCCTGGTCGCTCTGAGCACCGTTGCTTCCCCCGTTGCTTCCTCCATTCGCTTCTTTGGCGCCGTTGGAAGTCGAAGAGATCAACTTGATTCTCGTGGCAGATGTTACGGGTTGGGGCGTTCCGACGCTCGCACTTGCACTGGGTGCCACAGAAGTCTCTTTGGCACCGTCGCCGCCCTCGAGCTCTTGCAACTCCGGGTGCTTCTTAAGCTCCTTCTGCAACTCCTCGTGGAAGTATTTCTGCCGTCATGTTAGAATCTTGATCAGGAGTACATGCGATTGAACTAACCTGAAGGGTGAGGGAATCCTGGTACAGAAGCGATGCCTCTTCGTTGTACGTTTGACAGTTGCTGAACATAAGATCGACATCCTTGCGCATGTCACCAAGGCTATAGTATTGCTGCTTCTTGATCTTTTGCTCGATCTGCTTCATCGAGATGGGGTTTTGAATGATCAGGTAGTAGTCGGCGTAGTCGCGCTTGGGGGAAGGGCAAGGAAGGGACCAATGATGATCCGCTTGCCTGCCACTGACTCGTCATCGTCCTCCTCGGGGGGCTCGGGATCGTCGACCTCGAGGTTCATGAGTCCGTCAAACAAAGCACGCGCGCTTGTCTGGAGGGAATGGCGCTGCTGGGCCGAGACTCGTGGCGCCTCAGATCCTGCAGAGACAGAAACCGCCTTAGGTCTGCCTTGAGGTCCGCGACGCTTCTTGGCCGGTGGCTCATCATCGCCATCATCTGCCTTGCGCTTCTCTTGGTTCTTACTGCCAGGCTTGCGACCTCTTTTCTTGGGGGTTTCCACTTCCTCAGTGCTTGCGCGACTTGCCGAAGGGGAAGCCTCCGCAGCATTCATGATGGCTGTTCTCTTGAGTCGGTTGTTCTCCCTCTTGTCCTTACGGGCTTGCTTGCGTGCTGCTGCAGCCTCAGGAGAGTCATCATCGTCATCAACAGCCATGAGCCATTGCTCTTCCGTGAGGCCGTCATCGTAGCGGACCTTGGTTCGCTCACGGGCTCCACGTCCAAGACTCGTCTCCACCTCTTCTTCCACTGGGTTGCCATCACCGAGGTAGATCTCGGGAAGTTCGTCTTCTCCCAAAAGACGAGGCTTGGCCTTCGCGCCAGCTGGCTCGCCATAAATCGGGTCCTTCCTGCGCTCTTCGTCAAGCTTCTGGAAGACAGTGACCTCGTCGTCACTACGGGCGAGGAGCAGGTTCAATTCTTCATCGTCCATTTCGTCCTGCTCTCCCGTCTCGGCAAGGTCGGCACTTTCCAGGAGGGTTCTCAGCATGGCGTCACGATCCGTTTCCGTAGACTTGTTATCGAAACGACCGGCTTGAATGACCTTGCCGTCCATGTCGAGCTTGAATCTGGCTCTCTCCAAAATTTTCTCTTCGACCGAGTTAGAACTAATGAGACGCAGAATGCGAACCTCGTTCTTCTGTCCGATACGATGGGCACGATCTTGAGCTTGCAAATCTTGATGAGGGTTCCAATCGGAGTCGTAGATGATGACTGTGTCAGCAGTCTGCAAATTCAGACCCAAACCACCAGCACGGGTCGAAAGCAAGAACATGAAGTAATCAGAGTTCGGAGCGTTAAACTCGCGCAACAGATCGGAACGCTCGTCCGACTTGGTCGTACCATCCAGACGGAGATACTTCATGTTGCGATATCTGAGATAGTCTTCCATGATATCCATGATGGCCGTCATCTGGAAGAACATGAGGACGCGATGGCCCGTTGCCTTGTACTTGGGCAGAACTCGGTCCAGAAGCTCGAACTTGCCGGCTGTTCTCCAGAGCAAGTCATTGCTGATGCTCATGGGGTTCATGGTATTCTCGACTTCGTCGAAAACGAAAGGATGATTACAGAGCTTGCGAAGCTGCATAATCATGTTGCTCAGACCACGAGCACCGGCCTTGCCGCCTTGTCCGTCGCTGACAAGAATCTTGTTGTGCGTGACCATCTGCTTGTACAGCTTGCTTTGCAGGGCTGAGAATTTGCACTTGATGACCTTCTCAGTCTTGTCCGGAAGGTCCTTTTCGACATCCTTCTTCAGACGACGGAGAAGGAAAGGACGCAACACCTTGTGCAAACGACGAATGACAAGAATCTGCTCTTCTTCCGTAAGGTCCATCTTGTCCTGTCCACCAGTGTTGGCAAAAGGCGTATTGAACCATTCATCGAAAGTCTTTGCAGACTTGAAAATGGTGGGAAGGGTGAAGTTGAGCATGGCCCACAGTTCAGTAAGGTTATTCTGCAGTGGGGTACCAGTCAAAATCAGGCGGAATCGGGTGTGGTAGTATTGCTGGATGGTAGATGTCAACTTCGAGTTCTGGTTCTTCATGCGGTGACCTTCGTCGATAATCATGTGGAACCACTTGATCTTGCTGAGAACTGGTCGGTCCTTGATGATGTACTCGTATGTCGTGAGCAATACTTGGAAGCGTCCTTGACGGATCTTGTCCTGCTGTTGCTTTCTGGCAAGGGGAGGTCCCTTGTAGACGATCTTGCTAACAGACGGGGCCCACTTCTCGAATTCGAGGGTCCAGTTGGTCAAAGTACTGAGAGGTACGATGACCAGATACGGTCCGTCTTGCTTCTTGCGCTCGATGAGGTAGGTAACCAAACTGATGGTTTGAATGGTCTTGCCGAGACCCATTTCGTCGGCAAGAATACCATTGAGATTGTTGTTGTATAATGAGATCATCCATTGCAGACCCTTGACTTGGTACTCCTTGAGCTTGCCACCAACGAGAATGTTGGCCTGCTCGGTGACCTCTTCCTTGATCTTGTGGGCAACGGCATAGTAGTCGATCTTCTTTCCACTGGTGTCGCCATCGTCGTCTTCTGGCTCGCTCTCTTCCTCTTCCTCTGGCATCTGCTCCTCGCCAGTTTGCTCCGCAAGCGCTTTCCTTTGCTGGGACTTGACAGAGGCGGCGAGTTGGCGCAAGAATCCATCGGTCTGTCTGAGCAGGTGAGTAATACGGGTATCCTTGGCTTCGTCGAGCAGCTTGAGATACGCCTCTTCGTCGTTAGCCTTAAGAGCCTGCAGACGCTGCTTGGCAGTACGCTCGATTCTCTTCTGCTCTTCCTTCTCAATATTGTAGTGCTGGGCAAACATGAGCTTGTTAAGCTTGGTCGACTTGTTGCGCTGGCTTGAGGCGGTTTGCTGGATCTCGTTTCTATGCTGAGTAATGGCAGCGAGGAAGTCTGTGTGTCTCTTCTTCTCGCGGTTCTCCCGGATGTCGCGTTGTTGCTTCTCAAGCTTCTCGGTGATTCTGGCCTCACGAACCGTCATCTTCTTTGTGCGGCGGTAGCTAGAACGGTTGGTGGTCATAGCAAGGTTGTCGTAAAACATCATCGAGCGACCAATCTTGTCGCGCAGTGCCCTCTGCTTAGCATACAAGCCGAGGCTCTTCATCTCAATGATGGCCTTCACCTTGGCACTGTCGTCCAGCTCGGCATCGTCCTTGGTGGTGTCCCAGTGAGCGATGTTTGCCGGAGTGTTTCTTAGCTCGGCATAACGATCGCGCATCCGGTTGAACACAATCACTTCCCTCTCGTAACGCAGCTGGTCGAAATCCACACCGGTAGGGAAAAGTCCGGGAATGAGCTTGCGGTTCTTGCGCTGGGTGTGATCAAAATGGCTGATCGACTTGCGGATCAGGTTGGGATCATCGTAAGGAGTCTTGACAGCCTTGAATGTCGGCCCCTGAACCTCGGGGGGTTCAGACTTGGGTTCAGTCCCGTTCGGACCAGGCTGTGCGGAGTCTTGAGAAGCAGGTGCTGGTGTCGAAGAAGCTGCCAGCGCGGCTGCCTCGGCGGCAATGGCTTTCCTTCGCTCGCGTTGGGCGAAGATCGCCTGCTGCATCTGCAAGGGGACGCCAGCATTCTTTGTCAACAATTTGAATGCATGAATCTGTTGGCGAAGCAGACTGAGTTGTTGAGGGTTGAATTGACCAGCGCCAGGACCGCTGGACGGGGTGGCTGTGGAAGGCGAGCCAGCGGCGGCGACGGGGTTATTTGAGCTTGCTACAGGAAGCGCAGAGCCGCCGAGCGCACTAGACGCGGGAGGTTGAGTGGATTGAGGCTGCTGCTGGGCAGGATGCGCGCCATTGACGGCGCCGTTAGGTCCACCCTGCATCTGTCGCTGCTGCTGCATTTGTTGCTGTTGCTGCTGATGTTGGAGGAACGCCTGTTGCTTCTGTCGCAGACGCGCTTGTTGCTGAAAGGACAGAACAAACTGCTCGGCCTTGATGTATTCGGGATCGGTGCTAGGGACGCCGCTTTCTCTCATCTGCTTAAATTTCTGGGCGGCGTTAGCATCATCCATTCATCATAAAAAGGGTCGGTAGAGATCAACGGGGTGGAGAAAGGATGGACAGCCATGTGCAGAAAGGTCTTACGTTGAATATCTCTTGAGCCTGTTGAGGGGTGGTGGCCGCCATGCCGGCGCCAGGGAGCTGGACGGCAGGGGCTGCCTGAACGGAAGCCATGATGGGCAGTGTATAACTGCGAATCTATTGACTGCGTGTATCTCTAGAGATGCAACGACTATCTCGCGCGCATTATCATGCGAAGGGCGTCGTCAGTGTTGACAAGTGGAGCCGTGTTCAAGGTTGGTCGCGCCAGGCTCGTCGCGAAATGAGAGACTAGAAGGCTAATAGTGGCAGTAGGCGATAAAATGCGGCGCGTCGCTGTCGTAACAGAAGGCTCGGGGACGGCGACGTGGTCCGGGGGCGGCAAGCGCGATGGCGTGGTCCGGAATGGAAACACGTCGGTCGCGTGGGATGAGGTTCACCGAGATGGAAGGATGGAGTTCGGCGGCAGAGATGGATGCGAGATGGGGGATGCGAATGCGGTGCCGCGAGGCGTGGGGGAAAAAATGGGTGGAAGGTGAACCGGACGCGAGGCGAAGAATGGGAATCTGGGGAGGGAAAAGGCGCGGCGTCAAGGCGTTGCCTCGAGCGGGATGCGCGAGAAAATCGCGTTGAAAAGGTTGCTGGACACTTTTCGAGATGGGTGTCGATGCCTGTAGAGGGGGTTTGGCGATTTTTCGATGCGCGCGGTGCCGGTTGAGATGGAGAGGTGAGGACAACGACAAGATTCATCGATGGTTGGTGCGGTCAGTCTGTGAAACTGCGGTCCCCGTAATTCTCAGCATAGGAAGATAATGGGTGCCTGAGGCACGAAGCGCTAAGCTGATTATGTACAAGCGAGGGCGCTTGGGCCAGGCTGCCCCCCGAATCATGGTAGACAGGCACGGGCAACTGGCGGACGACTGGCTGACTGACTTCGGATACTAGCCGGGCCACGCACCTTGCGCCTCAAACCGTCTAGGTACGGGTGTCAAGCGTGTGGCCTGGCGGGTCGGGTACCTTATCGGCCACCACCAAGGAATGGCAGATCCACGCCGCTTGGCATCTGTCGTCTGGCATTTTCAGTAGGGTGAGAAAAAAAAGGTTCCGAGCAGCCAGCGGATCGGAGGCGCGTCAGTCTCCCGTCGTGGCCTCCAGTCGCTCGTTGGCTGAGCACCCCGGGCCTGGCCGGATGAGTTGGCCGTGGCGGGAATGTCCACACTCCTGCAAGTGGCTGCGTGCCGCCCTGCGTTTGACGGCTGCTCCCAGCGAAGCTAATCTGATGAAAGATGAACAAGTGGAGAGATCCCTTGGAAACGCAAGTCGCAAAAGAACGCTTGTCGCCTCAATTCCCTCCATCTCTCCAATGTCCTGCTGCTGACCCCGTCGGTTAGCTCGCCCTGCTCCAATAAGCCCAATCCAGCCACTGTTTGCTCTTCCCTCCTCCAAATTTAGACGCATGCTCCCTCCCACCATGCGCCTCCCCCACGAAATACCACGAGTTGTTACCGAGGCGCAATATCAGCACCCATTTCTCACCTCTTCACCTTCTTCTTGTCCGGACCTTCCTCCTCGTTGTCGCTCACATCCGCGTACTGGGTTACTGGCTGCGTTTTCTGCCACGCAGCAGTGAACATTGGATCTTTCTGCGCAGCGTCGGCATATTTGAGTAGTGCTTCCCTAGGGTCTTCGTGGAGCATCTTTGCCAGGGGAATGTTCTCAGCGATATGCTTTTCGTCGGGCTGATTCCTCATAAATGGCGTTTGCTCCAGGACAGCCGGTCTTCTGGGGTCTTTTGACTTGCCAGACGCCGTCACTCCCGCATTCCTCCTGCCAGCCATTACGCTGCCCGGTGTAACAATGGAATCTCCCGAGATGCCAACCGACATGTCCGTCGTTCGAGAGGGGTCGTCGTCAATGTGCCGCTTCTTCGGCGCCCGCGACATAACCTCGACGGCGCCTCGAGTGGACATGGTCGGGTTGTATAGCACGTGCGTCTCGCCATTTGCTGAACCCGTGACAATCTGGTTGATTTTGGGATGCCAGTTGACGGTGATTAGAGGCGCGCCTGGAGTGATTGGCGTAACATGTTCGGGGCGCAGGTTTCCAGGATTCAAAATGTGCAGATCGCCTGTTGCAGAGCCCGTCAGGATGCTGGTCGAGTTTGGCGAGTATCTGATGTTGCTCATCGGGAAATGATCCGACGTTGACGCATGGTCCACCGTGACAAGAGGCGTCTTGAACTTTCGTGTATCCCACAGCTTGATCGTGTTATCGCCTCCTCGCGTTACGACCATCCGTCCGTCGGAAGAGATATCGACGCCTCCAGTCCAGGTATCCGGTTTGTGGGCGTCTCGAATCTCAGCCGTGGGCCTTGAGAATGGGCTGTTGCCGCTGTACATAACCAGTGAGCCGTCCAGCGCGGCGGCAACAAGCACGTTGTTGCCGCCTTGCGCCGGCGCACCCCATGCGACCGCAGTCATCCTTGTTCGACCCGCAGACCCTGCTGCTTTTGACTTGAAGACAATCACGTCCCTCTGGCTGCGTTTGTTGTTGATGTCCCAGATTCGGAGAGTGCTATCGGTTCCGGCAGTGACGCAGAGGTTCCTGTCATTGGGGTGCCAAGTTCCCGTCGTAACTTCCGAAATGTGACCCTTGGTATTGTTCATGTCCCTCAAGTACATGTCGCCTTTGACGAACTCGGTCACAATGTCGCCATCCCTCGACATAATCTTGGCCTGCGGGTGGGCGGAAACGCAAAGGAAGACGCTCCCGGAGAGGGGGTTGAACTCGACATGGTGGATTGGGTGCGACTCGGCGTTCGTCGCGGAGGACTTCGCTTCCCATGGGTCGACGCTTCGAAAGGCTCGGAGAGTGCTCGGTGTCATGGACGCGAAGTCGTGCAGGTTGATTTTGCAGTCAAGCGACGCCGACACGAGTCGTCCTCCAGCCGGGTCCAGTGTGACCGTTGTCACGGCTCTTTCGTGCGTTTTCAAAACCAGTTCATGCGAAACTGGGTAGTCGTCGCCATCTTCAGAGTCGTCCGAGTCGGAGTCATCGCTATCACTGTCATTGTCTGAGTCGGACTTCTCCTCTTTCTGAACAGCTGATGGCGGACCTGCTGCGGATGCCTCGTGGGGCGTTCCTGCCAAGGGCTTCTCCGCCACTCTTCGGCTCCGGTCGATCTGAGCTGCGATATTGGCTTCCTTTGACTTTTTCCCAAATGAAGCTGGGAGGAATGCGCGCATGGGGTCGTCCTCGGCCAGCTCGGGGCCTTCGATCACGAAATCCTCGCCGTCGCTGCTCATCGTAGTGGTGTCCTCGATTGTAGAAGGAGGGGAAGAGGTGTGTCAGGAGGGAAAACTGGGAAAAGGATAATTCGGGTACATAGGGTCCCTAAGATCTACTCAGGTACTGGAGTGACTGGAGATGGGGGTGATGTCAGGTAGGAGCGCTATGGCAAGGGTCCTGCATGCCTAACCGAAACTTAGCGCTACGTTGGCGAAGGTGGTGGTCATAGCGCCCAATGGTTCACGTTCAACCTCACGACAGGTCAACACGGTAAGACGAGACACCATCAGAACTTCCGCAATCTGGTCGATACCACTACAGTGGCCGCGTACATACATGGAGAAGTGCACGCAACACTCAATTTAATTCCAAAGACAGCATTATAGGAGTTATTTGTGTCACTGGTCAACGCACCGCGGACTGTAAGGCAAATGCTGTGCATTCGAATGAAAGGGGTCATCTCGATCCACCTCTCTATGGAGTACTGTGCCTTAGCATCCCCTGAATTGCCGAAACTCTTCATCTCGATACTGGAATTGCAAAGAGTTGCAGCCATACGTACTCTTCAACTCCAAACTCACCACTCGCGAATCTCATCGCCTGGGCCGTTAAAGCCGGGCGTAACCCAGATCTCGCAGTTCCTTGACAACTCACGCACCTTCTCCTCGTCAACCTCGATACCCAGACCTGGGCCCTTGAGGATATCGATGTAGCCGTCGATGGGGCTCCAGATCTCAGGATTAGTGATGTAACTTGTGAGATCCTCGTTGCCGATCATAGCATTGTAGTGGATGCCCAGGCTCATCTCCTGGATGCAAAAATTAGGCATGGCGGTGTCGACCTGGACACTGGCCGCCAGAGAGATGGGGCCCAGAGGACAGTGAGGCGCGACCGAGACATCGTAGGTCTCGCACGTGGCAGCGATGCGACGTATCTCCGAGACGCCTCCTACATGAGAAATGTCAGGCTGGAGAATGTCAATGCACTGGGCCTCTAGGAAGGGGCGAATATCCCAGCGGTGGTACAGACGCTCGCCTAGAGCGATGGGGATGGTCGTCTTCTGCGACAAAGCCTTGATGCCGCCTATGTTCTCCGATAGGAGAGGTTCTTCGATGAAGTAGAGCTGGTGAGGCTCCATGAGCTTGGCAAGCTGACCCGCCATGGCTTTGTGGACGCGGCCGTGGTAGTCGACGCCGACATCTAGGCCCATCTTCTTGACAGTCTCGAGTCTTTCTACGGAAGTCTGCAGAGCAGACGGAGAGTCAAGCCAGCCAAGGTCGGCGGTGGCGTTCATCTTGACGCAGGTGAAGCCAGCATCGAGGCGCTGCTTCCTTAGAGGAGGTCAGCATTGGCATCGAGCAAACGATGGATTTAGAAGTGTAGTTTACGCTTGTAGAGCCACATCGACAGGACGGTCACCGCCGATCCAAGCGTAGGCCTTGATCTTGTCTCGGACTTTTCCACCGAGAAGCTCGTAGATGGGAACGCCCAACTTGCGTCCTATTCGTATCTTAGTAAAAAGCCAACTCCCCTTTGACTGCGCTTACCCTTGAGGTCCCATAGAGCAATGTCGATGCCAGACAGGGCACTAATGAAGACGGCACCTCCACGGTAGAAATTCTTGCGCCAAGCCGTCTGCCAGATGTTCTCGATCTCACTCCAAGACATACGAGTTAATGTGACTAGCCAACTGGAATAGAAATAAGAGTTTTGACTTACTCGGGATCCATACCAGTGAATTGGCTTTTGTAGAACTCGAGACATCCCTCGACTGCCTGAGTGTGGCCCTCGAGGGTAGCCTCACCCCAGCCATAGTTGCCATTCTCGTCGGTAATCTTGACGAAGAGCCATCGGGGAGGCACACGGAAGTACTCAATACTATTGACCGGGGCCAATATGCCTCTTCTCTTGTACTTGACTGTATAAACGGCTCAGTTCTGGCTAATACGAACATATTCATCCACAATCGACTAGCCTTGTAGGAACATATTCATGTAGGGCGAACGCACCTGCTCTGGGTGTTTTTATCTCGTGATAGTGAGAGGAACGGCGCAGTGTTCAGGAATGGCGGTTGCCAATGAACAACGTGAGCCCCTTGACACGGTATCAATGAGACGTATCATAAGAGGTTGCATAGCAGACAGCTGGTTTTCCTAGCAAGATGCCTTCCACTTTCGTTCGGCGCCCAAAACATTTGGATATTCGATGGAGTGAAGCCGAGATCTCATGTTAGAGGGAACTCACTAACCTTGCAAATAACTCTAACTATATATTGCAGTTGCAGTTGATAGACGGCTCTAAGTCCAACGTCTGTGTGATGTACCAGCCCCTGGATCTCTTGAAGAAGCTCGTATCAGAACTCAAGAAGCTGTTAGACCTCCAGAGCCCAGGTTCTTTCCCACACGTCAAGGCATATGTAACGAAATTCCGGTACAACGAGTGTTACCGATTTCCAACGAAGACACGGACAGACATTTAAGTCTGGAATATCACGTCCGGTTGCTCCATGCCCGCCGTCCTCGGACAGTCAGAGAGAGGGGCAGGACGGCATGCTCACGCAATTTCTCCCTCATCGTGCTCTGTATTTCGTGGAAACCTCACCCGGCCGCATCATTATCAGTTCGCGGCTTGTTGGATAGGTTGCGGCTCCATGAGATGAATCCGACACTGGCCTAGCATTCCTGCAGCCCGGAAAAAACAATATCTCGGTTCCACCTCCCTGCTGCGAAGAGAGGGGGGGTCCTTAAGCTTCCACATGTGATAACGGTAGCCAGTGTTATTGTACAGAGGGGTTCATCCATGCAGCATGCCAGTGAAATGGTTGCTACTCTCGAGTGCAAGGGAGGTTACACAGTGACACCATATAGACTGGCATATGGCTCAATCGCCCATCAGCCTCTGGTTAGGTGGAAGTTTGCTCGCTGCTGAGCATGTGCATGGCGGGGCTATTCTCAGGGATATCCTGCTAGATAGGTGCATCATGGCAATTTGCTTCTGATAATGCGCACTGGTGGAAAACCGGTACATTGACGCTTAGACAGCCGTTGGGGATTAGAGTTTGTATATGGTCTGATCCCGGAGCAGGGCGACGTCGGCCGTGTTCGGCTTCGGTGTCGGTCTCAGTCACATTCTAGTGTCTTCAACATCATGAAAGCTCATATACTATTCCTATTAACATGTATCCCGGCGCAATGCCGCAACTCTCCCATCAGGTGCTACTGACTCCCTTGTACCCTCGTTGCCAATGTGCCCATTCTGCATAAATTTAAGAAGCAACAGCTGCAAGTCGCTTAATCTCCTCCTGCTTCATCCGCTCCTGCACCTTAAGCCTCTCGGGAATGACCCGCTCCCGAGCGGCCGTAATCTTCCACTCGGGCAGCGACTCTGCGCCCAAGGCCCTCAAGGTAGCCTGCTCGACAAGACTATAAGCGCCGTCTGGTCTATTGAAGACATGGGGCTGGTTGAGAGAGACCGGGGGTTGGTAATGATTCTTAACCGCCTGAGGGGATTCCACGAGATGCTGTGTAGCATCAGGGGATGCAGCAGGTAGACGTCGCCAACCTTTCCATGGGCTTCAACGAACTCGCTGCAATTACGGGCGAGCGAGTTGTACCAATTGAGGTTCTTCTCCTTTGTGAAATCCGGATCGCCTCTCGGTACCATCCGCGGGGAGACGCCCTCTGGGTGGTCATGAAGGTGCTTCGCAACCTTAGGGATCGCCTCGGGGCAGATGAACGTTCCGCCGCCGCCAGGGACGATATCTGTGAACAACGGTATCACCAGCAATCCCTGTTCCGCGGAGTCAAGGTAGTGAACGAAGAAGTCTCCGTCTACGTGCCAGATTTCCAGCTCCCTGGGGTCGACCTCTCGACCCTCGAACTCCTCGCTTCCGAGGTTAACGATGAGCGAGTCCTTCCACTCCTTCGACTCTGGCGCCACGCGGTCCTCTCCACCGCAGAGCTCGCAGATAGCTGCCCAGGCCTTTGGTGCGTACTCGGAAGCGTCAAACGTGCGATGGTGGGGCATGTTTGTTCGGGGTTGCCAGGTCGACTTGTCGTTGGGATCCATGCCCAAGCGTGTCCAAACGTCTTTGGTGACCCAGTCTGCCTGTTCCTTTGTAAAGCAGTTGCTCAGCTTTATCCAGCCATGCTGTCTGAAGTGTTCTTTTTGAGACTCGGTAAGTGGTTCGGCTGGGGAAGACATATCCGCGAATGGTTAGGGAATAATGTACCCAAACCAACAGATGTATGTGGGTGACACTGGCGGAGGTAGCAGTCCACGTTGAGCAAGCGGAAGACCGGGCGAATTGTGGAAAGAAGATAATTAAAATTACAAGGTAGAAAACCAAACCCAAACCGAATAACTCAGTAGAGAGGGAGATAGCTAACTTGGGTGGCTTGCATTTCGGGACATTTTGCTTCGAGATGAAAGGTCATTATATAGACCCCCAACGGAAAGGCAGATGCGTCGGGGAACCTGGAACTAACGGCAGCGGGATGTCCAGCTTGTGCGGGGAACGAAAATCATCCTATTGGGCAAACGTCAACGAGTTTGGGGGTTTCTCCATGAGAACTTACGATTCGGTATAGCTAAGCCTCAATTCTCCTCCATAGGAGATAATGTATAAGACATGGGGGCCGGACCTGGCTGGGAAGAGATGCCGTCTAGGCTTGCAGGGCGCCAGACTAGAGCTTATGATACCGGCTAAATAGACACACGATGGATCCTGTGTCGATCCCCCACCCAAGACCGCAAACTATATGATGCCCTCAACCGGATAAAGGCGAATGGAATTCGGGTTATTGTATTTCGTAAAACCGATGGACTGGGAAGACGGATCAATGGCAGCGCAGACCTACAAGAGCTCTTGGGCTGTGATTGGCTATGTACCGAGTCTCACCGAGCCCGCTCGGTCAACACTGTACCGATAGCAGCCGACCGAACTTTCATTCGAAGTTCTGCACGCGCTTTTGCACCCTCCTTGCAGAACCGTCATACTCTCTATTCAAGACACCACCAAAATGCCGCCCGATCCAATAGTAGACGACGAAGAGTACGAGTCCTCCCAGGACTCCGACTTCGCGCCCGAGAACGCTGTCGCAGCCGATGGCGGCTCCGAGGCGTCCGACTCCGAAGCCGACGGCGAAGACGCCGCAACGAAGACCAAGACCACCAAACGCAAGCGCGATGCTGACGGCAATGAAGCTGAAGATGCGGGCTTTGAAAACTCGGGCGATGAGGCGCTGATAAAGAAGGCGAAGAAGAAGAAGCGCAGGAAGGCCAAGGATGCAGATGCCGCCCCGGACGAGGAGGACGAGGGAGGCGAAGGAGGGCTGGTCAAGACGCGGAGCATGCGCGCTGCAGAGTAAGTCGGCACCCATCGTCCCAGCTTTTTGCAGACTGGAGCGATTTTACTAACGGAAGGGCCGCAGAAAGGAGGAACGCAAGACTGCGGCCGCGTCCGGCCCGGTGACGGTCGACGTCGACGCCATCTGGGCACAAATGCTCGCGGGCCAAACGGCGACACCGCCGACCACCGAGGAGAAGACCGCAGAAGAGGCCGCTCCTCTAGTATCGAAACAGACCGGTGCCGAAGTCGACGCCCCAAAGCCAGACGAGGCCCAGGGAGGCGACCCCTCGGAGATGATACGCATCAAACGAACCTACAACTTCGCCGGCAAGGTCCACACGGAAGAGAAACTCGTAGCGCGCTCGTCGGCTGAGGCAAAGCTATACCTCGCCTCCCTTGGCAAAGACGCACCCCCCGACGCCGCCGCTGTCGCGGGCGCCGAGAACGAGGAACCCAAGCGCGTCCTCAAGAAGGCGTTCCGCTCGGTGTTTGAGCCTATCATCGAGGTCGTCAACCAGCGGTCCGACCTGAACCTCGGCATGACGGTGCGGATCAAGGCGCGCGAGAAGGAGGCGCAGGCCAAGAAGCTCAACACGGTCGAAAAGAGCAAGATGGACTGGGCCGGGTTCGTCGACAAGGAGGGGCTCAAGGACGAGCTCGAGCTCGCGGGCAGAGCCAAGGGGTCGTACGCCGAGAGGCAGGACTTTTTGGCGCGCAGCGAGGCCAAGAGGGAGGAGGAGGCCCGGCGCGCAAGGTTGGCTGGCCGCGTGCTCTAAGACGGGGGCCGGTCCAATTTCGTCCTACGTTCACAGGGTTTCATGGGCATGGTTCGGCGTTTGTTCTATGATTATAAGAGATACCCCCCATCCAGATACTAACAAAACAAAACTACTCGTATTGGGTCAACTATAGCTTCGCGTCTTTCCTTGGTGGGAGAATAGCGATATCCTGGTACGGGACGCCCAGATGCTCGTACATGTCGTGAAATCTATCGCTCCCAAAGATTGGCACCCCCTTTCCCTCTTCATTCACGACCCAGAACCACGGCGCGCCGAACGCGCCTCTTTCAATCGCCTCCTGCGTCTTTGTCTTGACCGAGTCCTTGATTTCCTGCGTCGCGGCTCCCTCCAAGATCCTCCTGACGTCCGCCTCGCTGAACAGCCTGTCTTTGGTGTCTCCTGGGTACTGCCTGGGCGCTTCAGTCAACGCCTTCGCCAGGACATCGGGCTTGGTGAGGTTGTCATTCGGCGGCTCCCAGAAGCAGTGGAGAAGCCAGTGCCAAGTCGTCTGGTACACGGCGTCCGGGTAGTTGGCTTTGACGAAGTGTAGGACGCGGAGGGGGAGGACAGTCATACTGCGCTCCATGAAGTTGTCGGGCGTGGTAATGCCAGGTTTGCCTGCCCTGACGGAGGCTCGGCGGCCGTCATAGTTGCCGTACTTTGCCTTGGCCGGGAGAGTCCATGGAGGTTTGTTTCCTGGACAATCATTAAGAAAAGAACAATAAACCGGTATAAAAAACCAAGTAGCTTACCGGAAGCGGCGTTGATAGCACCGAGTAGAACTGGGTGGATACTGATGGGTAGTGTTACCAAGTGAACGCACAAGAGGAAGGGAATGCGGTAACGAACTCTACCTGCACCCCATGGTCTGCGAGGAGCTCTTGATTCTTGATTATGTGATAGAACGCGATATAGCTGTATAGAGATGCTTGCATTCATAGGCCAGTCAGCCTTGCGACAACTTGTGCCCGGGATAGACAAAGACTTACCGATATCTATGTAAACATCGACCTTGCCGCCCATCTTGGCGATTTTCAGGACAATCGAACTGGGAGAAGAGGTACCAAAGTAACGCAAATAACGGGCAATGAGATTGAGTGACCCTGGTCGCAGCTCGTCTCGATGGCGCAATTGTCTTATAATATGTTGAGTGGTGCACGGTGAGGTGTGTGAGTTGAAGTTGAGGTGGATGGCGTGGGGAACCTCGGCATCGACTATTCTGGGGTCGGACAGCTTTGGCTTGGGGTAGCTCCTAACCTAGGCGGGACGATCACTAATACGCATTTCTGCCGAGTCCCGACGACATGTTTGCGATTGCGTCTCAAGGATCCGTGATAAAGCCAATAGAAGATCACAAGCTGATTTTGAAGAAACAGTTCTACATCTCTAATTACGGACCCAACGTGCCTTGACTCCGTTCTCTTCCAGCCACTACACACGCAGTACACGTCCCTTTCACTGAGTCAACACAATGGGTGATGCAAAGCAAGTAGCTCTCGTAGTCGGCGCCTCCAGGGGTATCGGTCGACAAATTGCCATCGACCTTGCAAAAAATGGCTATGCGGGTATGCAAAACTATTTTCGGCGTCACAGCCCACCTAACTTAGGCATTAACCTATCTCAGTCGTCGTGGCAGCGAAGACCACCAGCGATGCATCCAAAACCACCCCGTTCCCGCCAAATCCCAACTCGCAACAGTCGACAATCAGCACAGTCGCCCGCGAGATCCATGAAGCAGGCGGCGACGCGGCCCCTGTTGCCGTAGACGTCCGCAACCAAGACAGCGTGACAGGACTGATCGAGCAGACCATAGAGGTCTCTAACCCCCCCCCCCCTTTTCCCCATATTCTCTCTTACCCGTTCCAATACATGCCTGGTCCATCGTTTTCATAAGTCACTAACACCCATCCCCAGAAATACGGACGTCTCGACGTCCTAGTCTATAATTCGGGCGCCATCTGGTGGGCCTCGATCGAGGACACGCCCCCAAGCGCTTCCAGCTCATGCAGCGCGTGAACCCAGAGGGCCTCTACTTGACCCTCCACGCGGCGCTCCCGCACCTCAAGCGCCGCCGCCGCGGCCGTGTCGTCGTCGTTAGCCCGCCCATCTACAGCCGCTTCTTCCGCGGCAAGGCGGCCTACGCCATGGGCAAGGTCGGCATGAGCGTCCTGACGAAAGGTTTGGCGATGGACTTTGTCCGGCAGGAGTTGGACGAGATGGCGATTACCAGTATCTGGCCCGCCGTGGTACGTTGGAAGCAAAAAGCCAAGCGCCGACTCTTTCGTTGTGAAGTCAAGAGCTGACGGTACGCAGGCCATCGAGTCCGCCGCCACGCAGAAATTCCAAGCCGCCAACTCGGACGAGTCAAAAGACCTGCGCAAACCGACAATCTTCTCCGACGCCGTGCTCGCGATCCTCAACGCCCCGGCCCAAACGGTCAATGGCGAGCTCGTGCTCGACGAGGACTTCTTGCGCGACCACGCCGGCGTCACGGACTTTTCGAAATACGTCCTCGTCCCAGGATCGCAACCGCGGAGGATCATGCCGGCAGAGCTGCCGGATCTGACTGTTAAAGAACAGGACGACGAGGGGAAGAGGTATGATAGCGCCAAAGCCAAGTTGTGAAAACAACGCCTGCGCAGGTGCTTGATGGGATTCATATGACTTGACCTTGTACAATACACACGATGGCTTCGCTTAGCTGATTCAATGTGGACAATGGCAACATATGCTGGCGAGCTGTCCTGTTCCTTGATCGGTTCTTGATGCCATTAATGAGCCTTGCACGGTCAATTTTGCCAATGCTCCCAACGTGACAAACAGGTTCATCTCGATGAACCCCACGTCTTACTATGTACGACATGTGTTAGACTGTCACTGCGCTCTCCACGCCTGGTCGGGATTTCGCAAGCGTTTGCAACAATGCACTAGATGGAGGCCTCGGGTCAGGCCATACCTACCACCTTTGTTAGCAAGAAGCAAAAGGCCGGCCGTTTGAAGCATGGGTCACAGTTCTGGTCCCTGTTCACGAACGAGATATCAAACACCAGCGACCTCCCAGGCTTAGCGCCTTGGTACAGGCTTCTCGAAGGACTGGGGAAAAGAGCAGAGTGGGCTTCACCAAGCCATAGACTCCGCACTCATGCAATAAAATCTCGGGAGAGAGGGGTATATTATTCTAAATGCTTGTTTACTTTATTCATCTTCTGACCGAAACTCACTTCAACCCGCGAGCAACTTGTCGTCAGTCTCCAGGACCTTCTCCTGAACACTCTGCCCCGCCGTCTTCTCCTTCTCGGCCTCCCCGTTGACCGCCACCGCAGCCTCACCGTTGGCAATCTCACCATTCTCCGCCTTGCCCAGCTTGGCCTTGTCTTTCTTGCTCAACGACACGGCGCCCTTGGCCATGGCCTCCTTGGGCAAAGGCCGGATGATGGGCTGCACAACCCACCACGGCCTCTTGCACCGCTTGATGGCGCCCCTGGAGCTCTCCCCGTTCTCCTCGACCACCTCCTCCGCATCCGCCGCGGGGCCCAGGACCTCGTCGCCCTCGAACATCGCAGCCCCGACCTTCTCGTACTCAATCAGCCCGTCCGCGACCTTCCTCTCCACCATGCTCAGAATCTTCTCGTACGCCTCCAGGTCACCGGCCCGGCTCTTGGCGAGCAGGTCCCGCACGTCGGTGTGCTTCGACACAAAGTGCCGGAGCAGGTGGAACATGTGCGGCTGCATTGCCGAATAGTTGGGGCTCAGCGTCCGGCTCTTCCCAAGCTTAGGCGTGTCCTTCCTGCGCTTCTTGCGCTCCGGTTCATCCTCTTCCGCCAGGGCCTTGTCCATTTCCTCCATCCACGCCATGTCGTCGCCGGGCACGAAGAGGGGTCGCCTCGAAGGTGGCTCCTCGCCCGCGGCGTACTTGTGCAAGATGTCCATGTATCGCCTCATCACCGCGTCCACGCGGTACCCACCCTTGCCGTCCTTGCCGCGCCAGTACTCCCGCGTCTCAGTCCCGGATCCAGGCGGCGGGCTGAAAATGGTGGGATCGCTGAGGTTTCCCTCGGCGCTCATGATGCCGTCTGCGCCGGTGGCGTCCAACGCACGCTGGAGGTCCTCATGCTGCAGGATGTTTCCGTTAGCAAAAAGCACTGTTTCCGGCGGCAGTTGCTCCCTCAACCACTTGATGATACCCCAGTCCGCTAAGCCCGTCAAGTGACCCTTCTGCTCCCTCAACCTTCCGTGAACCGTGAGTATCGACGCGCCGGCCGACAGTACATTCTTGGCATACGCGAGCGTTGCCTCCTTAGTATCTAGTATCCTGATCTTCGCCGTCACAGGGATCGGCAGGTTTTGGTGCAGGGTGTTGATGAGCTTGAAGATAAGCTCTTGGTCCTCCTGTAGAAAAGCACCGTATTTTCCTTTCTTGGCGATGCCCTGCGGACATCCCAGATTCAGATCCACGGCGTCGCAGTACGGCGCGACCCTAAGCGCAGCGCCGAGGAGAGCATCGGGGTCGTTTGCGCAGAACTGCACGAAGAGGGGGCGGTCGATGGAGGGGTTGCCGTCGAGCCAGGCCTGCGGCGTCGGGTTCGAGTCGGTCGAGTCACTGGGTCGCACGGCTTGGAAGTGGCACTGGCGATAATTTTCCGTGTCTTTGTAAAGCCGCGCGTGAAACATGGGCGTGTAGGCCACCATGTTCTTCTGCTCAGATGGCGGTATGAACGACCGAGTCAGCATTCTCCAGGCCTGCAACGGTTATCGCCAACGTTAGCGTTCTGTTCGAGCCTGCCCTTCCAAAACCAGCACGAGCTGCGCCAGACTTACGAATTCAGATTGATCCACCATGGGAGCGAGGATATACTTTGGACTTCCAATGCTCTCGTAGAAAGCCCGACCGTGCAGCTTCGGCCCGGTCGTTGCCGCTCCTCCAGCCTCAAGCCCCGCGGTCGGGGTCTCGGTCGTTGTCGCCATTTTTGTCGAAGTATAAAAACGGGCGAGCCGGCTTGTCTGAGACGTCCGGAGCCTCCACAGCTTGAAAACCCCCTCCAGAGTGTCGACTATACTGGATATAGGCTATGCGACCAAATGTGGCATCGCCAGTCGTGTGTCGTTCGTCTGGAGCTGATATGACGGGGCCGTGACAGAAGCAGAAATTTTTCAAGCCTTGCGCCAGACAGAGTGCAAGGCTGAGAACCCCGGATTGAGGTATCTTATCTGATTGGTGGGGCCATGGGTCAAACTGTCCCCCATGGAAGGTTGGCAAGGTAGGGGCAAACATTCATACACAGCGAATGACGTCGCCCCGCCGATCGAGCAATCGGTGCGCCCCTTCGAGGTACATAGTATCTGGTACGATTGCTCGTCATGGGCCCCGACAAGAACCATCTGAGTCTAGCACTGAGACAGTGTGTCAGACGGGTCAAGGCACGCACAATAACTCAACGCAGCATTGTTCCAGGAGTAAACAGTTGTCACATGCGAGAAACCTTCTCCTGAACCCGGTCCGCTCTTAAGTATTCAATTCGCTGGAGCGGTCGATACCAGCATCGAGACCTCGCTGAGACTAAAGCTGTTTTTGGATGGAAAAAAGCCACACACTCTATTCTGCCTCCTCTTGACCCGACGAACTAGAATGCGACGATGTAATTCGAAGAGAACCCACAGATAAAGAAAAGTCCTTTGACACCAACAAAGCAAATACCAACACAGTAAAACCCGACCGAGTGCCGAGTGCGAGCGATGAGATCCTTTCAGAGTCTGCATGCTGTACGCCAGAGGGCTTGGGCCCATCTGATAAAAAAGTGTAAGACGATTGGAGGCCGCAAATCGTTGCCGCCGTCGTGTCCTCGAGGTCCGTGTGATCGCTGCCCAAATGCAAACAGGCTTTTGACCCGTCTTCTGCACTGACTGGCCACTGAAGGCCATCCTGTCTTTCCGGCCGCCTTCTTTCGTATGCCTCCCCACCCGTTGTAAAAAGTAAAATAGAAAAGTAAAAAAGGATTAATCGACGAAGGGCGGCCGGGGTAGGCTTCTCAGTCAGGCAAGAAAATGCTGTCAAGTGACGATTGATGAACGCCCTGACACCGTACGATGCTGTTCCTGAACGCCGTCGAATGGTAAATGTAGTTCAAATACATGATTGGGCGTCATTGCCCACCATCAAGAAACAGAAGTAGGAAGATTCCGTCTTGCAGGCGTAGCCGTCGTTAGAAGAAGTGCGTGTAAATCTTGGAGTTTTCATGAACTTCCATTTCCTTTAGATGGTCAGCAGTGCACGAGATGGAAAGAGTGGATCAGTGTCGGCATACCATCTTGAACGTGTTTAGTTCTTCCTTGATTTGCTGAGCCAACATTGGCGTGAGGCGGTTGCAGGTTGCGATATCACCCCGACGGTCGTACTCGCCACTCGGCCATGTGTCGTGGAAGATGATCCTTGGCGAAAAGGTTGCGTTTCTCTTGGCCGATCCCGAAGGCGTTCCCGGGGCACTCTTACTGTCCTGACGAAGTCGGAGAGCAGTCATGAAGTAGTCCTCAGTGCCAATAGCTACGGATCCAGATCGCTTGTGGCCCTGGGCCTCATCATTCGGCGTGCTCGGGGCGGTGGAAATGGGCGAGTCGGCGATGCTGGGAATCGCAGGAAGCTCAAAGTTGGAAATGCGCTCGCGAGCAGGGCTAGCTGATCGGTTGTTGTTGTGCTTCAGAATCCCCTTCCTAACAGCTGCAAGCACCTCGGCGCGCTCCTTGTCACCGCCAACAATGCTCTTTCGCCCAGCACTATCGGTGCCAGAACTTCCAGCGCGTTCGGATACCATGCTGGGAGTGTTGGAGATATCAAGCGAGTTTCGCTCCAAATGGGGAAACCCAGTGCCGCCACCGGTCTGCGCACGAGGATCCGCATTGACGTTGATCCTTTCGGCCTCGACGGTGATCATAGACACGGCGGCCTGGCTGGCTTCCGGAGCCAGCGCATCAGCTGCTGGGACGCCAATCACAGATTTGGGTCTGAACAGGCCAACCAGGTTTCGTGTACTCTTTTTCATGCCACGACCCATCTTACGGATCATGATGGAGGCAGACGACGCCGTCGAAGAGATTGACAGGTTGTCCGTCGAGTTGGAGAATAGTCGTCCGCCGTAGATGTTGTTTCCGATTCCTCCCTCCTCCTGCTTCTTGACAATAGCGGCTTGTTCGGCATCGTAGATGTCAGTAGCCGTCGGGTCCTTGTGCAATCGGGACGGGTCGGCCGCGTTGCTGGCTTCGGAAGGTGCGGCATCGGGACCGGCAGCCTTTTTGAAATCGGCCGCGCTGCCAAACGAAAAGGCTCTGCGCAATCGCGACGTCTTGCTTTTCGACCTCGTGCTCTTTTGATTAATCGCTGCCAACTGCTGGGCGGCGGGGCTGCTAGCGTTGGCCGTGGTGGATGTGGGCGCGCCCTGCGCCGACGCCTGCTGCGGTGCATTGCCCAGAGAGGAAGGTGGTTTTTGGGGACTTGTGTCGGTCGCCATGGTCACCGGCTTGGAGAGGGGAGAAGGCGTTGACTGCCTTTTGGCCGCATCTGATGATGAACTTCGAGGCGGGATGTTGACAAGTTTGGGATAATCTTGTTTCAATGAGCCATCATCCGGGTTGGAAGAAGTCGAAGAGGAAGAGGGGTTGGCCGTGGGGGTGGGTACGCTGCGGTTGGCAGACTAGCGGGAATAACCTTGTTAGCGATGGAACAATTCAGGATGATCGGGCCGGTGCATGATTGGGCAATCGAATGAAGGGATAAGGCGAAGACGCCGACGGTGAAACGGCAAAAAGGGGCGTGGATACTTACCGACGATGGGCGTGAATGGCTGCTTCGGCTTGATGCCAGGCTTTCGGCGCTGCCATTACGGGCATGCATGTTGTTGTCGACAGGAGGTGCGAGGGTGGAAACCATGCGGAGCGTCTTTTCGTTGTTTTTGGGAGTTGGACGGCGGTCGGGACGGGAGGATTCTTCCGAATGAGAGAATTCCTGTGGGGTTAGCGGCTTGGGATAATCGGCAGAATCAAGCGAGTGCATGCTGCGCCGCCTGAGACGCTTGCCATCCTCGGTTTGTTGCCGGTTTAATTGCATGTCATCGGCCGCACCGTAAACACTGTTTGGCCTGCCCTGGTAGGACGGCGTTCGGCCTCGCACTGACGCGCTCTTCTGCTCGGGAGCGTTGTACAAATGACTAATAGTAGCCATGCCTGAGCCTGACGGGGCACTAACCTGGCGAGTTTGTTGTTGCTGTAAAGCCGGGCGCCGGTAACGATCAGGCGTAGTCTTAGTCCCAGGGGTCTGAGCGAATGCCATTTGCTGTTGTGTTGTGGTGCCTGCCAAATACGCCGACTGTGGTCTCGGGGCCTGCGAGTTCGTGCGAGCAGCAGGAATCGCCAAGTCGTCCCTCGATCCACCTTTGCTTGTTCCCATGCCGTGGTTGTAGCCAGCGTGGGACATTGAAGCGCTTCCGGAATGACGCGATCGGCTTGCGTCGTGGCCGTGAACCATGCCCTGTGTCGGAACGGCAGGAGAAGATGAAGTGCGGTAACCGCTACCGTACTGCTGCCACTGGCCGTTGTTATTCAGGCTCGGGGTGCTGGTGAAGGCATATGGCTGGATCGGAGCGTTGCTGCCGCGATACACGCCCGAGCCAGAGAAGTTTCTCTGTGCTTGCTGGGCAGCCATGTACTGCTGGTTTGCCTGAGCTTGTGCGGGGATCATATTGCCAGAGGGTCTCGACTCGAGTGTGGTGACAGTGCTGGTCTGCTGAGGATACGTTTGAACCAACGCAGCCATGTTCCAAGCAACCGACAACAGAGAAGTGCCGAACAAGTACTCCTTCGCCGGTCGCTTAGTCGCTCGACTTGCTCGGGTTTAAGCAAGACTGGGACACGACGTTGGAATGGCGTAGATGACGTGGTGTGGCTAGCGATTTGTTTAAACGGAAATGCTCAACACTGGAAACGCAGGTATGTTAGCAAGGGTGAACCATTTTTGGCGCCAATGTCAGCAGCAAACATGCCCTTTGAAGGATAGGGCGGCTGACGCTTGTGCGATGCATGACACGTCTGATGATGCCTACGAAAGCGAAGGGAATGTGAATCCTACAAACCTTTCTTCGGTTCGAGAGCACGGGACGGTAGGTTAGTCAAACTATCCCGCGTTCCTTGGTGTTCTCCTGAATGAAACGGGAGTGTCGTTTATAATCAAATAGCGATCGTGGAATCGAAGGTCGCCTGCGGCCGGGAGGAGACAACAAGAGATTTGTTGTACGGAGGGGAGAGAGGGTGATTCGCTGTCACCGCGAAACACTCCTGTTTAGAGAGGACGGGTACAGGACGACGGAACAATCGACCAAGGGAAAGAGAGATCAAGTGTCACAGAGACAACTCGAAGCAAAGCTAGCAGTCGACCAAGAACATGAGAATCTCGGGCACTCGTATCCGGTTCGATATCGCAGCAAAGGTAATCGTTGGGAGGGAGAGTAGGCTGGCGCCGAGTCAGCCAGAAGAGCTCGCCTTGTCGTCGGGTGTGGGCAGGACGTTTGTTTCTTCGAGTGTTGGGTTCACGAAAAAGGAGAAGGGCATTCGTAAGGCGTTGTAAGGGCGCGGGTTTGTTTTTTCTTTGGTCTCGGTAGGACGGATGGACGACAAGCAGAAGGGAGAGAAAACGACAGGAACGCAGGATAGGCGATGGACGAGGCGAGGTGTGATCGGGGGCAACGATGGACCCGGGCAGTTGAATATGGAGACCACGCCAGGAAAGGACCCTGAGAGTCAGGCAACCTCTTGAGATTCTCGCGAATATTTTTTTGGGGGACGGTGATAAAAAGGGGGCACGTCGATGGGATGGAATGGGTTTTTGGGGAGACGGTGAAATTGGGGGCAGAGAGGCGGTAGAAGAGGGGGGGAACAGAAGGAAGAAGGGGAAAGAAAGGGAAGGGAAACGGGATTAGTTTTTTTGAGGGGATACAGAGAGAGGAAGTCGGGTGTGGTGAGAGGGAGTTCCTAGGAGGAGAGGAGGAGAAGGAGTTCTGTCAGGCAAATGGGCAAATGGCGGCTTGGGGGTGTGGAAGGGTTCGAGATGGAGATTGCCAAATGGGAAGGTTTTTGGGTATCGTACCGATGCTGCATTGGTCTGCTGGAGCCAGACGACGATGGAGTTCCACTATGGATACTCACAGACATAAGTACCCTCACTACGTTTTGTGGCGGCAGAGGTACATGATGCAACATCTGCGGGCTGCGTCTCTGTACTTTTACCTAGCAAATGCACATCCACACGTCCTTGACCATCGGTCCCCTATCCTTGATCCCATGTACCCTGTGCTTTCCCACGGCAGCCTGGGAGCCCCTGTCCAACGCCACGGTGTCTGACTGGTCCAAATTAGTCCTGCAAGTGCGGTGAACTGGGGCTACTGCGTGTTGGAGAGCAAGAGAGAAGGCGACCGAGAGAGAAGGGAACGTTCGAGTGTTTCCCCCATTTGCTTTGCTTGTCGCCGTCTTCCTCCATCTCACTTGCCTCATCACCAACCAGTGTCCAGTCTGGTCAAGTCCATTCTCATCCGCTTCGGTCCTGCCCGAGTTTTTTCTTGCTCCTCTCACTGAACTGAACCAACGGCGGCAGAAACACAACCAACAACAACGAAACCCCGCCAGCGCAGGCATTACAAACAAACTCGACGGTCAGGAAGGAGCACCGGCGAACCTTGGAACCCCAGCGAAAGGGGGACGCGGACATGATCGGGACCCTGTGTAAAACAGCACGTCGTCATCAACATCCCATCCCTCTTCGTTAGCCGCACACAGGGCGGATCCCCCCAATCCTCCCCAAAATGGCCCAAATAGGAATGGCCAAAACGCGTCTCTTTCGTCTCATCACTCGTCAAGGGAATTGTCTCTCGGCCTGGAGAATTTTGTCATCCTGTCATTGGACGACTGGACGACAGGCGGCGAATCATAACCACGCTACCCCTTGCTCATGTTGCTCCTGGGCGACTGGAATTGCCCGCCGCCATGCGCATAGTGTCTCCCGAGTCCTGAATAACCCCAAAGAGAAACAACAAAAACATTGATGCGCATCTAGCTCTTGCATGATGCTGCCGACACCACAACATTTGAACGCGCCAATCCCGGCCCCGCCCTCGCCTCCGTACTTCAACACCGAAACACGGGATTAAACAGGTCACACTTCGGCGACAGCCTACCAAGCAAGAGCGCTGCAAGAATCACACGCAGATGCATAACAAATAAGAGCACGTTCGACGCATCTCTCTTCTTCCTTCCTCTGTAAGGAACACGACCGCGACCTTGACATCAACTCCCCTACCACAACCCCCTTGCCCCCAGGTGCAACCACGAAGACCATGCGGCACAGGCCCAGGCACGGCCAAAGTCAGACGAGGAGATGAGATGGTGCTCCAGGAACAAACTTCACGTAACAGCAATCCACCACCGTTTTGCTTTGCGCCTAAAGAACCTCAAGGGGCTCGAGGAGGCGGGAACGAAACGCCCAGCTTGCAAAGCCATCCCCTACTATTTGGTCTACAACCAATGCACGCTGATACCTGATCCTACCTTGCCTAGCATCCGCACCTACACTACCTACTAGTACACCTTCTCAGCCTCTCGCCTCGGGTCCCTTACGAAAGGTCTGCACGCTGCAGCACTGTACGGATGCATAGCTAGGTGGTGCTGAACTCCAACAGGGAGCCGGCTCTTCGGGATTGAGGCACACTCGCACTCTCGCATTCACCACCCATTTACACAATGGAACGAACTGCAGATTCCTTGACTTAACTGACCTGCCGATCGTACCGAGGGGCGCAAGTACGGATACTGCACTGCCTAGACTCACCAAAGCTCCAACTTAGGCATTAGGCTCATCGACGCAGCTCTCGGCGGGCTAGACAACAGACCGCCAAGGTGGTACAACAACAGCATACCTCACCCACGCCATCGGCCAATCACAACTCGGGTCGCCTCAATCTTGTCTTTGGAGGTGTCTCTCACCTTCTGCAGTGCAGTGTGTGGCGCGGTGCAGTTGTCAGTCATTTAATGCGTGGGATAATCGGCGGATACGAAGGGAAAAACAAGGGCACCCTCTCCCCCGTATTTGACTTTCAAAGTACCCCACCGCAGTGGCTTCGCCTTGCTAAATGTGGTGAGGTAATGCTACGTGCATATCGGAAGGGATGGCGTCCCCTGTTCTGACGGGGGAAAATTCCAGGGCTACTCCTCCACCGCTCTGCTCTGTCTTTCGCTCCACAAGGGCCAACTTGCGGAACCAGCTCATGGAGGACGTCTGGAGCTGCTGCCGTCGGACTCGGCCTGGTTGGTCTGGGCGCCCGGGCAATCGCCGACGAGGGGGAAGTGAAAGGGGAGAAAGATGAAGCCGTCCGTGATAAACTCCGCAGCTTGGCGGGCAATCAGCAAGCAGCATCAGCGCCACTGCCCTGCCTTGCCTGCTATCAAACCCAGGTCGGACGATGTTTTTTATATCCGGACGACCACGGCGCACACTACACGGCCACTCTCTGTGATCTGTCTTGCCAAGAATCTGCAGGAGATACTCCGACTACCGCTCAGGCAATCGGCTGGCCATCTCACACTCGCCCTGCGCTCAGGATGCGGCACCCCGGCTTGCCCGACTCTTGGAAACCGCCGCCGGTGACAGCCTTCACGACGTTGGCCGAAGACCGACCTTCGATCCGATCCAGTTCATTATTGCTGGCGTTGGAATTTATCAAGGCCTCGCTGCCACTTTTCGCTGTCCCTCCTTCATTCTTTGATCCTTGGCCGTCCTCTCTCCTTTGACTCTGAGCCGTTAGCTCGTTCCTTTACACTATATTTAGTCCACGGTGAAAGACCAGTAAGGGGTCCACAGGACAGACAGGCTACCAACGATGACTGACCAACGGGTCGCCAGTACACTAGCACACGAGAGGTGGGCGATGGAGAGACATCCAAGGTATGTTGTACGTGGGAAGCACGAACACTTACATGCAAAGGGGCGACAGCCATGTCCGCCCCACTTAGTACCTATACATCTCGTACCGCGAGTGGCGACGACTAAATCGCGACGACGGCCACGACGAGCATACACGAGATTTTCACAGGCTAAAACGGGCCAAGGTCGACAACAACGGTAACGGGGTGGGCATTTGACGCTAACGGGCTAGTATGTACTATGTATGCCTGCTAACGGGCCCTGATCGCTTTTCGCGGCGATGCGGCGGCGTTGCGGCCCCTACAACTTTCCGGCGCCCCTGCCGATGAGTTGTGATGCGTTCGCATGCTTAGTACAATAGGCAGGGCGGGCAGGTAAGCAATTAATTGCCTGTAGGGTATTCATGGGATGCTGAGATAAATGCACAACCCCCGTCCACCTTTCTCACGAACCTAGTTCACTAAGCATAGAGCTAGACTGAGGTCATAGGAATTCCAAGGTGAGAGGCGCGGTCGGTCACTACGAATTGCTGGCATACGGTATACTGCACAGGCCCCTGGGCCATATGAGCTTGCAGGAAACCCCTCCTTGAACAGATCCAGCCAAACTCCGCACCATGGGCCAAGGCTCATGCTTTGGAAATGAAAGGTTTCCTGTCAACAACCTCAGAGACGAGCCAGGGCCCCGCCAGCATGATGCACAACCAGGGACGGCCCCATCGGGGGCAATTTGCAACCTACTGCATCTTCCATGCACCGCACAACCCACGGCCTAGACAGCCACTTCAGCCCTGCGATGCTGTATTACCAGGTGTCTCGAGAACACTGAGCCCTTGGGGTAATGTCCGA